AGGACCGTATGCAGAACCCAAAAGCTCTGCACCTACATCTACAGAGGAAGTGACATCGCCCACTGAGACATCAACAGAGAGTGCTACAACTGAATTCTCAACAGCAAGCACGGAGCAGGTCACATCATCCACTGGAATGTCTACAAGCACAGTTCATACGTCCTCACTGACGAGCGAGATTTCGTCCAGCATTCCGACCTCTTCCTCCAGTACAGAGATGACATCAGAATCCACACAGGAATCGACTACAAGTTCTACACTTGGGAGCTCGCCAACATCAGAAACAACTTCAACATCTCGCTCTCAAGCTCAAACAGACCTCTCCTCACCGTCATCTAGTAGCTCGAAACCAGGACCGTATGTAGAACCCAAAGCTCTGCACCTACATCTACAGAGGAAGTGACATCGCCCACTGAGACATCAACAGAGAGTGCTACAACTGAATTCTCAACAGCACGCACGGAGCAGGTCACATCATCCACTGGAATGTCTACAAGCACAGTTCATACGTCCTCACTGACGAGCGAGATTTCGTCCAGCATTCCGACCTCTTCCTCCAGTACAGAGATGACATCAGAATCCACACGAGGATCAACTACAAGTGCTACTGTGGAATCTTCCAACAGCAAGCAGGGGCAGGCCACTACAAACACAGTTCTTACGTCCTCACTGACGAGCGAGACTTCTTCCAGCATTCCGACCTCTTCCTCCAGTACAGAGATGACATCAGAATCCACACAGGAATCGACTACAAGTTCTACACTTGGGAGCTCGCCAACATCAGAAACAACTTCAACATCTCGCTCTCAAGCTCAAACAGACCTCTCCTCACCGTCATCTAGTAGCTCGAAACCAGGATCGTATGCAGAACCCAAAAGCTCTGCACCTACATCTACAGAGGAAGTGACATCGCCCACTGAGACATCAACAGAGAGTGCTACAACTGAATTCTCAACAGCAAGCACGGAGCAGGTCACATCATCCACTGGAATGTCTACAAGCACAGTTCATACGTCCTCACTGACGAGCGAGATTTCGTCCAGCATTCCGACCTCTTCCTCCAGTACAGAGATGACATCAGAATCCACACAGGAATCGACTACAAGTTCTACACTTGGGAGCTCGCCAACATCAGAAACAACTTCAACATCTCGCTCTCAAGCTCAAACAGACCTCTCCTCACCGTCATCTAGTAGCTCGAAACCAGGAACGTATGCAGAACCCAAAAGCTCTGCACCTACATCTACAGAGGAAGTGACATCGCCCACTGAGACATCAACAGAGAGTGCTACAACTGAATTCTCAACAGCAAGCACGGAGCAGGTCACATCATCCACTGGAATGTCTACAAGCACAGTTCATACGTCCTCACTGACGAGCGAGATTTCGTCCAGCATTCCGACCTCTTCCTCCAGTACAGAGATGACATCAGAATCCACACGAGGATCAACTACAAGTGCTACTGTGGAATCTTCAACAGCAAGCGGGGAACAGGCCACTACAAACACAGTTCTTACGTCCTCACTGACGAGCGAGAGACTTCTTCCAGCATTCCGACCTCTTCCTCCAGTACAGAGATGACATCAGAATCCACACAGGAATCGACTACAAGTTCTACACTTGGGAGCTCGCCAACATCAGAAACAACTTCAACATCTCGCTCTCAAGCTCAAACAGACCTCTCCTCACCGTCATCTAGTAGCTCGAAACCAGGACCGTATGTAGAACCCAAAGCTCTGCACCTACATCTACAGAGGAAGTGACATCGCCCACTGAGACATCAACAGAGAGTGCTACAACTGAATTCTCAACAGCACGCACGGAGCAGGTCACATCATCCACTGGAATGTCTACAAGCACAGTTCATACGTCCTCACTGACGAGCGAGATTTCATCCAGCATTCCGACCTCTTCCTCCAGTACAGAGATGACATCAGAATCCACACAGGAATCGACTACAAGTTCTACACTTGGGAGCTCGCCAACATCAGAAACAACTTCAACATCTCGCTCTCAAGCTCAAACAGACCTCTCCTCACCGTCATCTAGTAGCTCGAAACCAGGATCGTATGTAGAACCCAAAAGCTCTGCACCTACATCTACAGAGGAAGTGACATCGCCCACTGAGACATCAACAGAGAGTGCTACAACTGAATTCTCAACAGCAAGCACGGAGCAGGTCACATCATCCACTGGAATGTCTACAAGCACAGTTCATACGTCCTCACTGACGAGCGAGATTTCGTCCAGCATTCCGACCTCTTCCTCCAGTACAGAGATGACATCAGAATCCACACAGGAATCGACTACAAGTTCTACACTTGGGAGCTCGCCAACATCAGAAACAACTTCAACATCTCCTTCTCAAGCTCAAACAGACCTCTCCTCACCGTCATCTAGTAGCTCGAAACCAGGACCGTATGCAGAACCCAAAAGCTCTGCACCTACATCTACAGAGGAAGTGACATCGCCCACTGAGACATCAACAGAGAGTGCTACAACTGAATTCTCAACAGCAAGCACGGAGCAGGTCACATCATCCACTGGAATGTCTACAAGCACAGTTCATACGTCCTCACTGACGAGCGAGATTTCGTCCAGCATTCCGACCTCTTCCTCCAGTACAGAGATGACATCAGAATCCACACGAGGATCAACTACAAGTGCTACTGTGGAATCTTCAACAGCAAGCAGGAGCAGGCCACTACAAACACAGTTCTTACGTCCTCACTGACGAGCGAGACTTCTTCCAGCATTCCGACCTCTTCCTCCAGTACAGAGATGACATCAGAATCCACACAGGAATCGACTACAAGTTCTACACTTGGGAGCTCGCCAACATCAGAAACAACTTCAACATCTCGCTCTCAAGCTCAAACAGACCTCTCCTCACCGTCATCTAGTAGCTCGAAACCAGGACCGTATGTAGAACCCAAAAGCTCTGCACCTACATCTACAGAGAGGAAGTGACATCGCCCACTGAGACATCAACAGAGAGTGCCACAACTGAATTCTCAACAGCAAGCACGGAGCAGGTCACATCATCCACTGGAATGTCTACAAGCACAGTTCATACGTCCTCACTGACGAGCGAGATTTCGTCCAGCATTCCGACCTCTTCCTCCAGTACAGAGATGACATCAGAATCCACACAGGAATCGACTACAAGTTCTACACTTGGGAGCTCGCCAACATCAGAAACAACTTCAACATCTCGCTCTCAAGCTCAAACAGACCTCTCCTCACCGTCATCTAGTAGCTCGAAACCAGGATCGTATGCAGAACCCAAAAGCTCTGCACCTACATCTACAGAGGAAGTGACATCGCCCACTGAGACATCAACAGAGAGTGCTACAACTGAATTCTCAACAGCAAGCACGGAGCAGGTCACATCATCCACTGGAATGTCTACAAGCACAGTTCATACGTCCTCACTGACGAGCGAGATTTCGTCCAGCATTCCGACCTCTTCCTCCAGTACAGAGATGACATCAGAATCCACACGAGGATCAACTACAAGTGCTACTGTGGAATCTTCAACAGCAAGCAGGGAGCAGGCCACTACAAACACAGTTCTTACGTCCTCACTGACGAGCGAGACTTCTTCCAGCATTCCGACCTCTTCCTCCAGTACAGAGATGACATCAGAATCCACACAGGAATCGACTACAAGTTCTACACTTGGGAGCTCGCCAACATCAGAAACAACTTCAACATCTCCTTCTCAAGCTCAAACAGACCTCTCCTCACCGTCATCTAGTAGCTCGAAACCAGGATCGTATGCAGAACCCCAAAGCTCTGCACCTACATCTACAGAGGAAGTGACATCGCCCACTGAGACATCAACAAAGAGTGCTACAACTGAATTCTCAACAGCAAGCACGGAGCAGGTCACATCATCCACTGGAATGTCTACAAGCACAGTTCATACGTCCTCACTGACGAGCGAGATTTCGTCCAGCATTCCGACCTCTTCCTCCAGTACAGAGATGACATCAGAATCCACACGGGGATCAACTACAAGTGCTACTGTGAAATCTTCAACAGCAAGCACGGAGCAGGTCACGTCATCCACTGGAATGTCTAGAATATCACAGTCACCGTATAAGTCACATCCAGACTTACATTCTACACCGTCAGAACACAAGTTTCCGGAACGGCCAAGAATACGTAAGTATTACTACACCTTTCGCTATTACAACTTTTTTACTTCTGTATTTATTTATCATTAATGAACAATAAATGTGATTCAAATCGTGTCCATTTTTTCTGTAAATTGAATTAATTCCTTTGAACATGTTCAGGTTCTGATTCTTCCAGGTATGTTTCCATATGGAGAAGAAGAAGGTGATACCCATTTAAACCATGGAGATGATGTGTACAGTTCTGCAATCAACGTCCCAACTGGGTTTACCTGTGGATGTCATCGGGCCCACGACGTCTATGTACGTTCTTTGCGAATGAGCTCTTTGATGCTTTAACAATATTTCAGAGTTAGTGAGTATGTCAGTTTTACGACCCACTAGCAATATTCCAGCTATATGGCGGCGGTCTGGACATAATCGAGTCCGGACCAGACAACCCAGCGATCAACAGCATGAGCATCACTCTACCCAACTGGGAACCGATGACATGTGTGAACCAAGTCAGCGAGCCTGACCACTCGATCCCGTTAGTCGTCTCTTACGACAAGCTAGGTTACTGAAGATCAATTCCAACTCGGGTGTTCACGGGTCCAATACTTCAAAAATGTTAGATGGTATCTGTTGAAGTGCATGAAATGCATTTATATTTATCGATGTAACGTTAGGCTTTCATGTACATGTAGATATCTTAAGAACACATTTTTCGATAAGTAACCTTTTAACATGTCTGTACCGACACACTATCACATGTCCACCATGTCTCTATTTCCACAGGTATATACAGACGGGTATATCACAATGGACAAAATTCGGGTAAATTCTAACCCTGAGAAACTGCCGTATGGAGAATACAATATGGTTGCGCCATTCTGGTCCGACATTGATCTGAAAGGGACGAACTTCGCTGACATTTTCTACCACCTGTATGACAAATACTCCGTATCGAACACCTCTGCAAATGAGGCGGAAGTCTTCCTGAAGTCAGCAGTGTCAACTTTGCAGTCACATAACTCGGAGTTTGAGAACTTCACCGCTGCGACAGCACTTCTAGTCACGTGGGATCATGTGAATCCATACCCTGCGATTACAACTGCTCCTAGCCAGGTAAACGTTTGCCTTTGTATAAACTCTATTGAAGGATTTGAGTTTTAATGGAAACATACGGTGTTGAAGACTTACCATTTTCCTTATTGGTCGTTGAATGTTGAAGATATAGTTTAAAAAGAAAGCTGAATTCAGATATTAGGTATTAAAACTGTTTGAATGTCATACATCCCATCCATATTGAATCTGATAAGATGATAAACAATATTTATTTAATGATACAGAGATTTAAGTTCTGCCACCTATGGTTTCAATCTCTTCTGGATATATAAACCTGTGGCAAGCAAGACTATACCGACTATGTTTCTATGCATTTGACAATGGTGGGGTATACTTTCATTTGCTCCTCGGTCCAAACAAAAAAGGCGGTTACATAGTACAAGACTATATAGTCCACGTCAGTTCATACCATCTAAAATCAAAAGTGAAACTATAGATACACCATAATACATTCACACACACTGCCTCCACTGTTCACCACACAATGTAAATACTTTAACAAATATGCCTCGTTTCGATTTATCCCTCCACATATTAATGATTCCCTCATGTCAGAAACATCAAAAGAGATGATTCTAATAATAACATTTAATGCGAGATGCATGCGAGAACGGGTTCTTTGTATCTTTCTTGTGTCCTAATGATAAACAACTGGAAAAAATCAGAAAATATTCCAGTAATATCAATCAATCAATCAATCAGTTTATTGCATGAAGGCCAGAGGCCCATATACAAAATAAATATGCATAATATGTACAACATAAACAACATGCGACACACACGTTACATTGAATCTCTCCTCAATACAAGCGCGTGATAAATACAAAGAGCTACCTTATATTGTAATGAGGATGTTTTACAGGAAAGTATTGAAATTGAATACAGTTTTGTAGCATTAATATTTGAATGTAACCATTGTGGAAAATACATTTGCCTTAAACCATTATATAAAGGACAAAGAAATATGAAGTGTAATTCATTCTTTACAGTATTACAAAATGGACAGAAACTTTGTGATTATAAATAGATGAATATCTTATATAATGAACAATTCGTGTTTGATTTCCTCGTATCAATCCACGAGAGTTTCATTGGTGACTTTGTTCTCCTACAGAATACGACGTTCCAGCTACTGCTTGTAACCGACGGGGACGACACATACGCCATGTACATCTACGGAGACATGGGGTGGACAGTGGACGCTGGCCGGATCGCTGTGGTCGGCTGGCAGTGTGGGTCACAGGCGTACAGGAACAACCCCTTCAGCGAAACCACGTCTGTCTTCAGGATCAACGAGAAGATAGGTGAGGCTGGTGCACTAGGGATGGAGTTACCTGTATTCCCGACCTGTGAAGATCCGGTCTTCAGTCGACCCATGCGACTTAAGGGGACGGGTGGTTAGGCTCGCTGACTTAGTTGACTGCGTACATAGTTGCTCATGCTGCTGATCACTGGATTGTTTTGTCAAGACTATATCATTTATAGACCACCGCCATATAGCTGGGAGAAAGAAAGAAACCTAAATTCCCGTATAATGTTGTATTATCAATATGTTATATTACCTTAATTGTAATGATAACAAAGCAAACATTTAAGAACACGCGTACGTTTTGAAAAGAAGTAATTAAGTTAGTGTTCCAAGGAATATTTAGTCCATTTGGAACACAAAGTGTTGAGATAACTAAACCAGTGCAGAAAGTTAAGGACAACCCGATTCTTCCATACCACTATAATAAATCGGTCCTTCATATGACCATAGTTAATAGATCATGCCATGTAAGATTTGAGCTACAGTAATACGAAAAATTCGGGTGAATCTGAAATGTGTTTCTAATTCAAATAATGGCACACTGAACTGTAAAGAACTATACAAAACCATGCAAATCAGATTCAGGGTATTCATTTACTTGGTTTAATTATCTGGGTCTTAGGTTTCTCTGGCGATAATTGAATACATCAATGTCTTGAAAATGATTTAGTTTCACAGTTTCTGAAAATGAAGAAAGCCTCGAGCATCCGTTTTATCATTTTTATGAATACTTCAGAGCCTAGAATATCTGTTTTCATTGAGGTATTTTTACTCAAAATTACCCAGCAATAGATAAAATATTATACTGTTCAGGAATTTGTGGAATAGACATAATTAAATTTAACGAAATGTTTTCGATTTCAACTACGAACAAAATAAGGTTGATTTACTTTGTTTTACCTCATAGTTGATAAAGGATATATCATTACGTGATATCAAAACAGTTTTGATCCTCCAACGTTACATTTAAACCATGAATGTTTCAACCATGAATGAGAAAATGTGATTGAGACACACACACACACACACACACACACACTCTCTCTCTCTCTCTCTCTCTCTCTCTCTCTCTCTCTCTCTCACTCACACTCACACTCACTCACACGTACGTGTGTGGTATGTGTGTGTGTGTTTTATAACAGGGACATTATTCTGTTGTGAGTCAAATAATTCACGCACTTACGACTGTTGTAGGCAACATGGGGAACACCACCGGTGCATGGTACTACAAGCTGGGGCACTGCCAGCGGAAGGCGAGGAACCCCGCCCTGGAGTGCGTGAGATGGTACCGAAAGGAGGAGGCGGATCTGGGGGGCTATACAACAGGAACTTGACCAAGCCTACAGCTGCCCATGCAGCTACTCACAGCTGCAGCTGGACCGAAGGTTCTCTGTGTACAGGGATGGTTGTTTCTATGCCACCCTCCCGAGGCCAGGCTTCCACACTACGGCTACAAGGGTAAGGATCTCCGTTCCTTCTTGTCTTTAAACGGTGGATATGGGACGTAGTAACAATGTGATATTTAGCGTGTGTTTCTGGCCCAAGGGATTACCAAGATTCGTTCTTATTCATATCCACATCCTTCTTCAAGTGGCAAACAGTACTAGAATCTGTAATCTACTGAGAAAGTGTAATCCCAAATATGGTATATAACCTTCAAGTTGCATGGAGCGAAAGATGAGTTTAGGTTTACGCCACCCTCAGAAATATTCCAGCTATATGGCGGCGGTCTGTAAATAATCGAGTCTGGACCAGACAATCCAGTGATCAACAACATGAGCATCGATGTACACAGCTGGGATACGATGACATGTGTCACCCAAGTCAGTGAGCCTGACCACCCGATCCTGTTAGTCGCCTTTTACGACAAGCATGGGTTACTGAAGATCAATTCTAGCTCGGATCTGCGGTCAGCTGCATGGAAAGAATGATAATATCTCACATAATGAGACGTTTTCTCGGCAGGATACAGATGTAAACGGATGCGGATAGCTATGTAAATATGAAAGGTCAAGTGTATACTACGTTTAGTGGTTACATACATGGCGTCACAAACCGAAACATGAGTCTCATTGACCAATTCAGACGATAACCTACTTTTCAGCCGATCCGAATTTTCTCGTATGAAAGTGAAAAGAGACACTAGAAACAACTAAGGCTACACTGAATTCCACTTTCTTGTGTCATAAGAAAACGGTATTTACAAATTGATTTTAATTCTAAAGTTTTAAACAATTCTATATTTAATGTACATGTTTAGGCAGCATGTCGTTAACTAAGACGTCACAGACTGCCCCTGAAGAGGTCGTACAATGATTCACAATTCATCTGGCTCATTGGTTACACCTGTTATGTGTCCTTTGCGCTTATTAATATAAGTCAAATGTGACTGATATAATGTCAAGTCCGTACCAGACCGCCAAACGTTTCTAGCGGCAGAACCTCGTTTTGAGATTTCCACGATTTCCAGATTTCCGTTTGTCAGAGCACGCTGTACGACAGAGCACGCTGCACGACGTGTTTGCGAGGATTAGAAGGAGCGTAGTGTTGCAATATACAAGTGCTTAGATGTATCAAATAATACTGATTAATATTTATATATCCAGTTAAATGAGTTGGGCTCAAAATTCTGGACTGGTTATTGTACTAAGTTGCGCAATAGCCGGAACCCAGTCAGCAGGAAACGAGACTGTTGTGTAATCAATGTTTTGACTTGATAGGTCATCGAATTAGAATTGACTGTAGGGACTGTGGATAAACAACTGTAATGATTGTTAGTATCTTTGTTTCTGAAATACTCAAAATCAGTGTCTCACTAGGCTGTAACTAAGACGTTTGGGTAACTCTGGAAATTCAAATATCAATGAATTTAGCGAGTGGAATCTGTTTCCATTGGGGACGTGGTAGAGCTATGCGGAGTCTTTTGCCAAATTTAATGCATTTGAATTTGACCGGATATGTCCGAATTGTTACCTGTGCATATGACCGTGTATTTCAAACCCCTGTCTTATAGTAGCTTCCCTTCCATAAGGGGCAGTAACTCTAACGGACGGCTCGATTGAATGCTGCGAAAGGCACATGAAACCAGCTTGTGTTGGTAATTGTCACTTTGCGTACATGTAGGTACGCCACTGTTTTCTGAAACCGGTTTCAGTTTAGATCTGTATTGACTTGTCCCAGTCCAGTGGACACATTACTGAATTTTTAATATTATAAGTTGTTCACTGGTTTCGAGGGGGTACATCAACCCATGGGCCCCAAGGGACCAGTGAACAACGTATTTATATTACCGAATACCTCAATGGTAATTTTGAACTGTTCGAAGCATGGGAAACCGATCATAGTGTGAAGTACCAGACGACAAGACGACAAGAAAACCAAATTTAGAGTTATCTCCCTTCCATCGATTTGCATTCGCAAAACATCGGTAATTTCCGTACATCATACGTGAATCAATGGTATTCGAGATAAAAATTACTACTACGAAGTACCAAATGAGTTCGGCATTCCCAGCGGGGTACATAGAAAATGTTTTTCGCTTGTAAGCGGGGTACATTGAAAGTAATAGAAGAGCGTTAGCCAATCAGAGAACGACATCCATGTGTGAGGCAAGATAAATATTAATGTAACAGTTAATGGTTTTTAGGGATAAGAACAGTCTTTTCGATGACAGCATTTAAGAATGACATCATGTGGTAGAGATCCGGTCTAGAACCGATCTTCAGCATCAGACGTTTGTCGTAAGAGGCGACAAACGCAATCGGGATCGGGTGGTTAGGTTCGCTGACGTGGCTGACTTGTCATCATATCCTATAGATCGATGCTCATGATGTCAATCACTGGATTGTTTGGTTGACTCGATTGTTTACAGACCGCCGTCATATAGCGGTGCACAAATAACAAACGAAATACCTGATATCATTCTAAAACACATTCCTGTAATAACCTCCGGGGAACAAATGGCAGACTGGTCAAGAAGGTCACAATTCGTTAAACTTGATTCCCTTTACTGTTTATAAATCTAATCTGGATTTGTCAGCAAGAGACACTTACATACGAAGCAACCTTAAATCCACGTCGTTATATCAGTGAAATGTTGATACAAGTTAAACCCACGCAACTCATCCTACTAGCCAGAGTAACTCGGTTTACTTAAGGCAGGACTTGCTCACCCATTTCTTGGACACCCGGTGCCACCACTAAATGTATGTGGTCCATTCAAATAATTTTCACATCTATTTTTACCCTTTACACAATGCGGAATATGTTCTGAGGATAGGAGGATAGTCAAGACTGGATATTTCTTGCACTGATGTTTTACATATATGCCTCCTGTTCATATGTTGGGTTATTTAGCGATGTTGCTACAACTCTTATGGATCGCTGGAAGTTCAGTACCCGTCAGGGGGTCACTTCGTGCGGCACTCCCCCTTCCTGCAGCCCGCAGCATTCTTGCGGGAGGACGTGGAGCCACGCACCGTGTGTTGTGACTTGTCTGACCTCTGTGGCCTGTACCTCACAGAACTCCGGCCTCCAGATGACTGCCATCTTTATCAAACTCCTACACTAGGTATGACTTTTCTCTGACTTTTCATGGACCCACACCCAGACAGTATTACTCACGCGTATATTCTCTGTTTGACAACCACAATCTCATTCCCTTGTCAATTTCAGCCACTTATTCACCTTCCCCGCCGTCCGATGTGGGCAAGCTACCACATTCTAAGATGGTTGATACGCTCTGATCGTCAATTGATGAAACTGCGTAATGATAAAGATTTTAGTGTTTTGTTGTGGAGATTACATGATGTCAACAAGGCTCAAGACTCAAAATGTGATAATCTACCTCTGTTTGAAGAAGATCTAGAAAGGTTCTTGCAGCGAACTATGGCTGTGAATGAAACGCCATCACTCTAACAGTTACCCCTTTGTCCACCCACTATATCAATGTTATTCGTCAGCACACAACCCTCTCAACTCACTCTACCGCCAACTCGCACTGTCATCTTTCTTTCACTCAGTCACTCATTTCAAAAACACTCGACCACCAAACGTACCCATTCTCGTCTATCCACGTACTCACTTCAAAAACACTCGACCGCCAACCGTACCCATTCTCGACTATCCAAGTACTCACTTCAAAAACACTCGACCGCCAACCGTACCCATTCTCGACTATCCAAGTACTCACTTCAAAAACACTCGACCACCAACCGTACCCAACCTCGTCTATCCAAGTACTCACTTCAAAAACACTCGACCACCAAGCGTACCCATTCTCGACTATCCAAGTACTCACTTCAAAAACACTCGACCACCAACCGTACCCATTCTCGACTATCCAAGTACTCACTTCAAAAACACTCGACCACCAACCGTACCCATTCTCGACTATCCAAGTACTCACTTCAAAAACACTCGACCGCCAAGGGTACCCATTCTTGACTATCCAAGTACTCACTTCAAAAACACTCGACCACCAACCGTACCCATTCTCGTCTATCCAAGTACTCACTTCAAAAACACTCGACCACCAACCGTACCCATTCTCGTCTATCCAAGTACTCACTTCAAAAACACTCTACCACCAACCGTACCCATTCTCGTCTATCCAAGTACTCACTTCAAAAACACTAGACCGCCAAGCGTACCCATTCTCGACTATCCAAGTACTCACTTCAAAAACACTCGACCGCCAACCGTACCCATTCTCGACTATCCAAGTACTCACTTCAAAAACACTCGACCGCCAACCGTACCCATTCTCGTCTATCCAAGTACTCACTTCAAAAACACTCGACCGCCAACCGTACCCATTCTCGACTATCCAAGTACTCACTTCAAAAACACTCGACCACCAAGTGTACCCATTCTCGACTATCCAAGTACTCACTTGAAAAACACTCGACCACCAACCGTACCCAACCCTCGTCTATCCATGTACTCACTTCACACACTCTCGACCACCAAACTGTACCCATTCTCGTCTATCCAAGTACTCACTTCAAAACACTCGACCGCCAACCGTACCCATTCTTGACTATCCAAGTACTCACTTCAAAAACACTCGACCGCCAACCGTACCCATTCTCGTCTATCCAAGTACTCACTTCAAAAACACTCGACCACCAACCGTACCCATTCTCGACTATCCAAGTACTCACTTCAAAAACACTCGACCACCAACCGTACCCATTCTCGTCTATCCAAGTACTCACTTCAAAAACACTCGACCACCAACCGTACCCAACCTCGTCTATCCAAGTTCTCACTTCACACACACTCGACCACCAACCGTACCCATTCTCGACTATCCAAGTACTCACTTCAAAACACTTTCGACTAGCCAACCGTACTCCATTCTCGACTATCCAAGTACTCACTTCAAAACACTTGACCGCCAACCGTACTCCATTCTCGTCTATCCAAGCACTCACTTCAAAAACACTCGACCACCAACCGTACTCCATTCTCGACTATCCAAGTACTCACTTCTTAAAAACACTAGACCGGCCAACCCATGCCATTCTCGTCTATCCAAGTACTCACTTCAAAACACTTTCGACCGCTAACGGTACCCATTCTCGTCTATCCAAGTACTCACTTCACACACACTCGACCACCAACCGTACCCAACCTCGTCTATCCAAGTCCCTCACTTCAAAACACTTCTACCACAACCCGTGCCAACCTCGTCTATCCAAGTCCTCACTTCACACACACTCGACCATAAAGCAACTGTATTCCATCCTCGTCTATCCAAGTCCTCACTTCACACACACTCGACCACCAACCGTTACTCCAACCTCGTCTATCCAAGTCCTCACTTCACACACACTCTCTACCACCAACCGTACCCATCCTCGTCTATCCAAGTCCTCACTTCACACACACTCGACCACCAACCGTGTGCCCACCTCGTCTATCCAAGTCCTCACTTCACACACACTCGACCGCCAACCGTACCCACCCTCGTCTATCCAAGTCCTCACTTCACACACACTCTACCACCAACCGTACCCAACCTCCTCTATCCAAGTACTCACTTCAAAAACACTCGGCCACCAACCGTACCCATTCTCGACTATCCAAGTACACACTTCAAAAACACTCGACCACCAACCGTACCAATTCGTCTATCCAAGTAGTCACTTCACACACACTCGACCACCAACTGTACCCATTCTCGTCTATCCACGTACTCACTTCAAAAACACTCGACCGCCAACCGTACCCATTCTTGACTATCCAAGTACTCACTTCAAAAACACTCGACTGCCAACCATACCCATTCTCGTCTATCCAAGTACTCACTTCAAAAACACTCGACCATCAACCGTATTCCATTCTCGACTATCCAAGTACTCACTTCAAAACACTCTACCACCAACCGTTACCCATTCTCGTCTATCCAAGTACTCATTTCAAAAACACTCGACCACCAACTGTACCCAACCTCGTCTATCCAAGTTCTCACTTCACACACTCTACCACCAACCGTACCTATCCTCGACTATCCAAGTACTCACTTCAAAACCTTTCGACTCACCAACCGTAATTCCATTCTCGACTATCCAAGTACTCACTTCAAAAAACACTTTCGACCGTAACCGTACCCATTCCCAACTATCCAAGTACTCACTTCAAAAACACTCTACCGCCAACCGTACCCATTCTCGTCTATCCAAGCACTCACTTCAAAAACACTCGACCACCAACCGTACCCATTCTCGACCATCCAAGTACTCACTTCAAAAACACTCGACCACCAACCGTACCAATTGTCTATCCAAGTACTCACTTCACACACACACTTTCACCACCAACCGTAATTTCCATTCTCGACTATCCAAGTACTCACTTCAAAAACACTCGACTGCCAAGGGTACCCATTCTTGACTATCCACGTACTCACTTCAAAAACACTCGACTGCCAACCGTACCCATTCTCGTCTATCCAAGTACTCACTTCAAAAACACTCGACCACCAACCGTGCCCATCATCGACTATCCAAGTACTCACTTCAAAAACACTCTACCGCCAACCGTACCCATTCTCGACTATCCAAGAACTCACTTCAAAAACACTAGACCGCTAAGCGTTCCCATTCTCGACTATCCAAGTACTCACTTCAAAAACACTCGACCGCCAACCGTACCCATTCTCGACTATCCAAGCACTCACTTCAAAAACACTCGATGGCCAACCGTACCCATTCTCGACTATCCAAGTACTCACTTCAAAAACACTCGACCGCCAACCGTACCCATTCTCGACTATCCAAGTACTCACTTCAAAAACACTCGACCACCAAGTGTACCCATTCTCGACTATCCAAGTACTCACTTGAAAAACACTCGACCGCCAACCGTACCAATTCGTCTATCCATGTACTCACTTCACACACACTCGACCACAAACTGTACCCATTCTCGACTATCCACGTACTCACTTCAAAAACACTTCGACCGCCAACCGTACCCATTCTTGACTATCCAAGTACTCACTTCAAAACACTTTCGACTGCCAACCGTGATCCATTCTCGCTTCTATCCAAGTACTCTCACTTCAAAACACTCGACCACCAACCGTATTCCATTCTCGACTATCCAAGTACTCACTTCAAAACACTTCGACCACCAACCGTACTCTATTCTCGTCTATCCAAGTACTCTCATTTCAAAACACTCGACCTACCAACCATACCTTAACCTCGTCTATCCAAGTTCTCACTTTCACACACTCGACCACCAACCGTACCCATTCTCGACTATCCAAGTACTCATTTCAAAACACTTCGACCGCCAACCGTATCTCCATTCTCGACTATCCAAGTACTCACTTCAAAAACACACTTGACTGCCAACTGTACCCATTCTCGCTCTATCCAAGCACTCACTTCAAAAACACTCGACCACCAACCGTACCCATTCTCGACTATCCAAGTACTCACTTCAAAAACACTAGACCGCCAACCGTACCCATTCTCGTCTATCCAAGTACTCACTTCAAAAACACTCGACCGCCAACGGTACCCATTCTCGTCTATCCAAGTACTCACTTCACACACACTTCGACCACCAACCGTATTCCAACCTCGTCTATCCAAGTCCTCACTTCAAAACACTCTACCACAACCGTACTTCTTAACCTCGCTCTATCCAAGTCCTCACTTCACACACACTCGACCGCCAACCGTACCCATCCTCGTCTATCCAAGTCCTCACTTCACACACACTCGACCACCAACTGTACCTAACCTCGTCTATCCAAGTCCTCACTTCACACACACTCTACCACCAACCGTACTCCATCCTCGTCTATCCAAGTCCTCACTTCACACACACTCGACCACCAACCGTGCCCACCTCGTCTATCCAAGTCCTCACTTCACACACACCTCGACCGCCAACTGTACTCCACCCTCGTCTATCCAAGTCCTCACTTCACAAACACACTCTACCACCAACTGTACCCAACTTCTCTCTATCCAAGTACTCACTTCAAAACACTCGACCACCAACCGCACTCCATTTCGACTATCCAAGTACTCACTTCAAAAACACCTGACCACCAACCGTACCTACCTCGTCTATCCAAGTAGTCACTTCACACACACTCGACCACCAACTGTACCCATTCTCGCTCTATCCCGCATTACTCACTTCAAAAACACTGACCGCCAACCGTACCCATTCTTGACTATCCAAGTACTCACTTCAAAACACTCGACTGCCAACCATACCCATTCTCGTCTATCCAAGTACTCACTTCAAAAAACACTCGACCACCAACCGTACCTTATTCTCGACTATCCAAGTACTCACTTCAAAAACACTCTACCACCAACTGTACCCATTCTCGTCTATCCAAGTACTCATTTCAAAACACTCGACCACCAACCGTACCCAACCTCGTCTATCCAAGTTCTCACTTCATACACACTTCTACCACCAACCCATGCTATCCTCGACTATCCAAGTACTCACTTCAAAAACACTTTCGACCACCAACCGTATTCCCATTCTCGACTATCCAAGTACTTACTTCAAAAAACTCTCGACCGCCAACCGTATCCATTCCCAACTATCCAAGTACTCACTTCAAAACACCTCTACCGCCAACCGTATATCCCATTCTCGTCTATCCAAGCACTCACTTCAAAAACACCTCGACCACCAACCGTACTGCCATTCTCGACTCATCCAAGTACTCACTTCAAAACACTAGACCGCCAACCGTACCCATTCTCGCCTATCCAAGTACTCACTTCAAAAAATACTCTGCCCGCCAACGGTACCCATTCTCGAATCTATCCAAGTAATTTCACTTCACACACACTCGACCACCAACCGTACCCAACCTCGTCTATCCAAGTCCTCACTTCACACACATTCGACCGCCAACCGTACCCAACCTCGTCTATCCAAGTCCTCACTTCACACACACTCGACCACCAACCGTACCCATTCCCAACTATCCAAGTACTCACTTCAAAAACACTCTACCGCCAACCGTACCCATTCTCGTCTATCCAAGCACTCACTTCAAAAACACTCGACCACCAACCGTACCCATTCTCGACTATCCAAGTACTCACTTCAAAAACACTCGACCACCAACCGTACCAATTCGTCTATCCAAGTACTCACTTCACACACACTCGACCACCAACCGTACCCATTCTCGACTATCCAAGTACTCACTTCAAAAACACTCGACTGCCAAGGGTACCCATTCTTGACTATCCACGTACTCACTTCAAAAACACTCGACTGCCAACCGTACCCATTCTCGTCTATCCAAGTAATCACTTCAAAAACACTCGACCACCAACCGTGCCCATCATCGACTATCCAAGTACTCACTTCAAAAACACTCTACCGCCAACCGTACCCATTCTCGACTATCCAAGAACTCACTTCAAAAACACTAGACCGCTAAGCGTTCCCATTCTCGACTATCCAAGTACTCACTTCAAAAACACTCGACCGCCAACCGTATCTCCATTCTCACTATCCAAGCACTCACTTCAAAAACGCTCGACCGCCAACCGTATTCCATTCTCGACTATCCAAGTTGCTTACTTCAAAACTTCTCGACCGCCAACCGTACCCATTCTCGACTATCCAAGTACTCACTTCAAAAACACTCGACCACCAAGTGTACCCATTCTCGACTATCCAAGTACTCACTTGAAAAACACTCGACCGCCAACCGTACCAATTCGTCTATCCATGTACTCACTTCACACACACTCGACCACAAACTGTACCCATTCTCGTCTATCCACGTACTCACTTCAAAAACACTCGACCGCCAACCGTACCCATTCTTGACTATCCAAGTACTCACTTCAAAAACACTCGACTGCCAACCGTATCCATTCTCGTCTATCCAAGTACTCACTTCAAAAACACTCGACCACCAACCGTACCCATTCTCGACTATCCAAGTACTCACTTCAAAAACACTCGACCACCAACCGTACCCATTCTCGTCTATCCAAGTACTCATTTCAAAAACACTCGACCACCAACCATACCCAACCTCGTCTATCCAAGTTCTCACTTCACACACACTCGACCACCAACCGTACCCATTCTCGACTATCCAAGTACTCATTTCAAAAACACTCGACCGCCAACCGTACCCATTCTCGACTATCCAAGTACTCACTTCAAAAACACTTGACCGCCAACCGTACCCATTCTCGTCTATCCAAGCACTCACTTCAAAAACACTCGACCACCAACCGTACCTATTCTCGACTATCCAAGTACTCACTTCAAAACACTAGACCGCCAACCGTTCCTATTCTCGTCTATCCAAGTACTCACTTCAAAAACCTTTCGACCGTAACGGTACCCATTCTCGTCTATCAAGTACTCACTTCACACACACTCGACCACCAACTGCATTCCAACCTCGTCTATCCAAGTCCTCACTTCAAAAAAACACTCTACCACAACCGTATCCAACCTCGTCTATCCAAGTCCTCACTTCACACACACTCGACCGCCAACCGTACCCATCCTCGTCTATCCAAGTCCTCACTTCACACACACACTTCACCACCAACCGTACCCAACCTCGTCTATCCAAGTCCTCACTTCACACACACTCACCACCACCAACCGTATCCATCCTCGTCTATCCAAGTCCTCACTTCACACACACTCGACCACCAACCGTGCCCACCCTCGTCTATCCAAGTCCTCACTTCACACACACTCGACCGCCAACCGTACCCACCCTCGTCTATCCAAGTCCTCACTTCACACACACTCTACCACCAACCGTACCCAACCTCCTCTATCCAAGTACTCACTTCAAAAACACTCGACCACCAACCGTACCCATTCTCGACTATCCAAGTACTCACTTCAAAAACACTCGACCACCAACCGTACCAATTCGTCTATCCAAGTAGTCACTTCACACACACTCGACCACCAACTGTACCCATTCTCGTCTATCCACGTACTCACTTCAAAAACACTCGACCGCCAACCGTACCCATTCTTGACTATCCAAGTACTCACTTCAAAAACACTCGACTGCCAACCATACCCATTCTCGTCTATCCAAGTACTCACTTCAAAAACACTCTACCACCAACCGTACCCATTCTCGACTATCCAAGTACTCACTTCAAAAACACTCTACCACCAACCGTACCCATTCTCGTCTATCCAAGTACTCATTTCAAAAACACTCGACCACCAACCGTACCCAACCTCGTCTATCCAAGTTCTCACTTCATACACACATCTACCACCAACCGTACCCATCCTCGACTATCCAAGTACTCACTTCAAAAACACTCGACCACCAACCGTACCCATTCTCGACTATCCAAGTACTCACTTCAAAAACACTCGACCGCCAACCGTACCCATTCCCAACTATCCAAGTACTCACTTCAAAAACACTCTACCGCCAACCGTACCCATTCTCGTCTATCCAAGCACTCACTTCAAAAACACTCGACCACCAACCGTACCCATTCTCGACTATCCAAGTACTCACTTCAAAAACACTAGACCGCCAACCGTACCCATTCTCGTCTATCCAAGTACTCACTTCAAAAACACTCGACCGCCAACGGTACCCATTCTCGTCTATCCAAGTACTCACTTCACACACACTCGACCACCAACCGTACCCAACCTCGTCTATCCAAGTCCTCACTTCAAAACACTCGACCGCCAACCGTACCCAACCTCGTCTATCCAAGTCCTCACTTCACACACACTCTACCACCAACCGTACATTCCAACCTCGTCTATCCAAGTCCTCACTTCACACACACTCTACCACCAACCGTACCCATCCTCGTCTATCCAAGTCCTCACTTCACACACACTCGACCACCAACCGTGCCCACCCTCGTCTATCCAAGTCCTCACTTCACACACACTTCGACCACCAACCGCACTCCACCCTCGTCTATCCAAGTCCTCACTTCACACACACTCTACCACCAACCGTACCCAACCTCGTCTATCCAAGTACTCACTTCACACACACTGACCGACCAACCGTACCCATTCTCGTCTATCCACGTACTCACTTCAAAACACTCTGACCGCCAAGCGTACCCATTCTCGACTATCGACCGTACTCACTTCAAAAACACTCGACCGCCAACCGTACCCATTCTCGTCTATCCAAGTACTCACTTCAAAAACACTCGACCGCCAACCGTACCCAACCTCGTCTATCCAAGTCCTCACTTCACACACACTCGACCACCAACCGTACCCAACCTCGTCTATCCAAGTCCTCACTTCACACACACTCTACCACCAACCGTACCCATCCTCGTCTATCCAAGTCCTCACTTCACACACACTCGACCACCAACCGTACCCACCCTCGTCTATCCAAGTCCTCACTTCACACACACTCGACCACCAACCGTACCCAACCTCGTCTATCCAAGTCCTCACTTCACACACACTCTACCACCAACCGTACCCAACCTCGTCTATCCAAGTACTCACTTCACACACACTCGACCGCCAACCGTACCCATTCTCGTCTATCCACGTACTCACTTCAAAAACACTCGACCGCCAACCGTACCCATTCTCGTCTATCGACCGTACTCACTTCAAAAACATTCGACCGCCAACCGTACCCATTCTCGTCTATCCAAGTACTCACTTCAAAAACACTCGACCACCAACCGTACCCATTCTCGACTATCCAAGTAATCACTTCACACACACTCGACCACCTTCTGTACCCAACCTCGTCTATCCACTACCACCGTGTTACAGCCACGTACTACGGCGACCCCCACCTGCAGACCATGGACGGATTGAACTACACATTCAATGGATTGGGCGAGTACGTTCTCTTCCAAGTAGAGGATCAGCACAAGCACCTCGTGTTCGAGATCCAGGCCCGGACTGCATCTGTGTCCACCTCCACCAACAACAACGCCACAATATTCACTGCAGTCGTCGTGCAGGACTACTTGGCAAGATCTTCTATTCAAGCCGAGCTTTCTCAGGACAAGAAAGGTAGCAGTACACTACAAATTCCACTCAAATATTTTCACCCAATTATTTATCACGTTTGACTCTCTACAGGCTTTTCATAAGGTTAAACAGTGACCTTATGTGCTTAATATCCTCAGTAGTCATTAGTTTATCCAAGGGCGGTGGGGTAGCCTAGTGGTTAAAGCATTCGCTCGTAGCACCGACGACCCGGGGTCGATTCCTCACATGGGTACAATGTGTGAAGCATTTCTGGTATCTGATATTGCTGGAATATTGCTAAAGGCGGCGTAAAACCATACTCACTCAGTCACACATTTGTTTATTCTTCTGTATGACTTCACTTTCAGATCTGCTTTTTTACAACAATGGTAATGATATCAGCGCTGACATTAAAGGAAATTTCATGAGTATAACAAACTCCTCATCCATTTGGACAGATGGTCTCGTCATCATCGCCACGTTACCTTCAGGTAATTATGAAGTAAACAACTCTTAAATGAGTCACTTACAAGTTTTCCTGTTTAGTAGCGTTTATGAATAGACCTCTATATTAGGTGAAACAGCGATATCATTCTTGATTCATTGACATTGTCTGAATGCGCTGGAATACAGACTCAGAAGTATCCAAGCCAACCAACTTGACTTTGTCCTTTTGATAAATTTAGTGAAACAATTCATATAATCGAATGTTTAGTCCCTTTGACACCGATGTGACTGGCAAAATTTAGAAAAACGTGACAATGTGTGGACCTCGACTACAAAATGTCTAAAGTACGAAGTAATACTTCCCATTCCTCTCGGTGCCTCATGTTTGGTACCTCCCAGTAGCGAGACTGGTTCTTGGTGTGCTGCAGGAACACGACCCTTCTGACACTCTTGCTAATGCAGAAGGCTGCAGAGAAGTCACGTTCGTTGTCTGGGCTGCGTCGTTAGGGTTGTTTGCTTTGTTTGTTGTTTAACGCCGCACTCAGCAATATTCCAGTCTGTATATAATCGAGTCTGGACCAGACAATCCAGTGATCAACAGCATGAGCATCGATCTACGCAATGGGATGGGATGACATGTGTCAACCGAGTCAGCGAGCCTGACCACCCGATCCCATTAGTCGCCTCTTAGTACAAGCATGGGTTACTGAAGATCAATTCTAACCCTGATCTTCAAGGGTCGTGTTGTTTGGGAGGGGAAAAGACCCTGTGCTGATGATGAACTTAACCTGCCTTACTGTCCCAGGATCACTCTTGTTTAATATATGCTATTAAAGTGACAACAATCACATGATAAATATTTCTATAATTTATTTTAATTTAGTAAATTCTCCTTCAACGCCAATGTAATGAGCATCAACTAATCAGAGTATACTATCTAGTAGAGTATACTATCTAGTAGGGTAGAAGTTGGATAAGGTGTTCGTTAGTCATAGTTTTTATAGTAGTATGTGGTGCGTTTACATGATTCATCATTCCAGAGCAGTGTAAGTAACTGGTATAAGGACTTAATAGGTATAGCATACAAACCGTTTATGTCCCGTTTACTTTGTAGCCAAGGTTTCTCTAACTGCACCGCTATGTGCCACTAATTTCGGGATTTAAAAACACATTTTCTCTAAATGATGAAACTATTCAATATCAGTTGTAAGAAATGGTAGATTCACTAGGTCAAGTGATGATCTCAAGAGAGATAATTGTATCGGGGTATCTCCTGTTTGTCGACGTGCGAAGCTAGAGTGTGTTCTGCAGGAAGGTAATGCTATCACTGTGGCTGGTCAGATGTAGTCAATGGGTGAACCACTGGACTGGAAGACTGAAAGAAACACAATGGCTAACTGACATCTGCTTGTTCCAGGTGTAAGTGTCAACATCACTCACAACGTACAGATGCTAGACGTTGCCCTCACCGTGCCCTCTGATTGGCGGAATAACTCGGATTTTACGATCAGTGGACTGCTGGGAAATTTCAATGGCGACTTGACCGATGACTTTACTCTACCAAATGGCACTACTCTGAGCCATACGATGCACGATGAAGCCATATTTCATAAGTTTGGAGAAAAATGTAAGTGAATATATTACTTACGGTGACAAATGTTTCTGATTGGTTTTTTCAGAAAGCCTTTAAATCTCACCCATAGTTAGCTGTATTGGATCTAGTACGAGAATTATCTACCCTTAATGTGCATGCTCTAAGCGATAGATTATGAGGCTAAATATTACTTTCGGTGTATACACATTCGAGTCGCTTACAACAAAGGCCAATTAGCAGTGTTCGAGCATTATTATCGTTCTACTGACTTTCTACATGCCATTATCTTTTCTTGAATGTTAAGGTTTGGTTAAGCAGCAACGAACGTATTGGCCCAAACAGGTTTTGAAGTTAATGCAAAGTGTATGTGCACTGTATGCACCTGTGTCACGCAGGAATATATCATCTGATAATAATTGAAGACACAATTACAATCACACTGTCATCCTGTACAGTCACAGTCACCACATACAACCACACAGTCACACTATACAATACACAGTCACACTACACAATCATATGAATTCAGACTTGATCTCGTCACTATACTCAACTCAACTCAACTCAACTCAATCAGGCAGTCACACTTTACAATCAGGCAGTCACACTGTACAATCACACAATAACCCTAAACAATCACAGTCTCACTCTACAATCACACAGACATACTCTACAACCACACAGAAAGATATATTTAAACTACGGGGTTTTACAAAAACGGTAAATGTTCACGACATTTAGAGCCTTTCTCATACGAACTATCTGGGGCCCGTAAGTAGGTCACGGCCCGTAAGTAGGTCAACGTTGTTTATTACTTCCGGTGACAAACAACGTTTCAGACCTTTTCGAATGGTCTCATGGTTGTCTCATGGAATAATATTTAACCGTATCCCATATTAGCCATTTATTACGACTGTCAACAGTTGTGACAGCCAAGCATTGTTGTACACTTGGTCCGGTCTAGTAAAGTCATATTTGTCGGTGGCGCAATTTGGAACCAGAACTGGTTCTTGCATACAGCTTGTCACCAGAAAGCTGGTACCAGCTTAAGACCGGAAGAGTCGCCTTACAGGCCCTATACTACAAATTCAAGCTCTTCTTCAGGGCGCACAGTTCTGCCGAGTATCAACAGGACAAATGTGTTCAAGTACAACCCAGGGCGGGCCTCTTCCTTCTATCAGCATCCGGAATTTCTTCCCCTGTTCCTTGACACAATGAATAAAACACACGAGGCCGAGATTGCTTGTGGACGCGACGACTTGGAGTGTATCTATGACTACGTGGTCACTGGAGACGCCACCATATCCAACAACACCAAATACGTGAAAAAAACAGCAGCTGAGAAGAGGATATACACAGGTTTTGTAATATATCATTTACCCGTTGTGTTAACTCGCCATTGACTGGGAGCGGTGAGATAATCGGTTGCACGAAAATATTAGGGAACCAAAGAAAGTGGTTTGCCAAATTGTAACTATAACGCTATGGGTAAGAGTGGGTAGGGTGGAACTGACAGTTCTATTAATTTTCAAATACAAAAATTAATATTTGAACATAATTAAGGGCTGGTCAGTCATCGGGTCCAGGGGCGAGCAGAGTGTAACTTTCTGACGATTGACACGCCGAACTTCAAAACATTTGTTTGAAACGATGTCATCTGATCTGTTGTGATTCCCGTTTTCCTTAGGGCACTTTCATAATGTCTGCTCCAAGTGTATGTACGGTCGATATTTGAACATATTGAAGGACGCTCGCTAAGTCAAACACCAATGGGTCTCCAGAAAAAGCTTAGTTTTAGTTAAGCTTTATTTTGTTATCGAACCTCAGAGAGGTCGAAGTATTTTCAAAAGTCCCTTTAACTTCGACACAGCGGTACTTGACTGTCATTCAAACGGGCTGTTCTGTTTCCATAACAATAAGATGTTAACTCTACACAAAGAACCGAGGACACCAGGTTCCTTCAGAAAGACCCTTTGCGAACTTTGACCGGCATATGACATTTCTAACAACAAAAAATTCGCTGAGCACAAAATTTTCTCGATCTTTCAACACTTCAAAATGGAAACTCTCTTTCCAGACGTCATTTGAAAAAATATTACAAATTTGGAAATATAACTTGCTATGCCTAATATATAGATGGCTGAGATTGTGTTGAAATTACAGGGGCTAGGTAAAGGCTCTTCCATCTGGAAGCTGAGACTATAGTTGTGACAGAATCAGACGCACAGACTGTATTAGTCGTTCAGAATATCCGGTGCTTTCCTTTTCGAGGTGCGAGACTTGAAAGAGACATTCCGACTGTCCCTTTCCCGATTTTGTAAACGACGCCCTGATTGGTCGGATTAAATTTCAACATATCTTTGTTTAACGGCAGTGAGTCGTTAGTCTAAGATATTAGTATAGTGTGATTGCTGCCATTCACATAGTAACAGATCCTCAACTCTGAATATTTTTATATATCCAAGATATCGATGTTGCACATTTCGTTCCTCTATGTATTTCAGAAAACCATGTCCCTCGAGTGATCAGCGACGTGCAGGTGAACGCCACTGTTGGTAAAAGTGTCACTGTCACCGCCACAGCTCTCGACGACGACATTGACCAGAACGTCACCCTGATCATGTCCGGATCCTATAAACACCAGAACATGAGCAAAACTAACACCAGCCTTCAATATGTTTTCACTCCCCATGGTGTAACACCCTTCAACATCAGGTAGATTGATTATAACTGGTGTTATCTTACGTTTCTTCGTTAGTACATACCAATATTATCCAACCTAATTATGATTATGAGTAAGTGAGTGCGTGTGGTTTAACGCCACTTTTAGCAATATTCCAGCAATATCACGGCGGGGGACACCACAAATGGGCTTCACACATTATAATAATAATAATAGGCCATTTATATAGCGCCTTTCAACGTCACAGGGATATGCTCAAAGCGCTTCACACATTATACCCATGTGGGTAATTGAACCTGGGTCTTCAGCGGCACGAGCGGGCGCTTTAACAAGTCAAAACATTGATTACACAACAGTCTCGTTTCCTGCTGGCTGAGTTCCGTCCTATTGCGCAAGTTAATACAATAACCAGTCCAGAATTTTGAAACAAATTCATTCAACTGGATACCTAAATATTTATCAGTATTTTTGATACATCTAAGCACTTGTATAGTGCAACACTACGCTCCATCTTATCCTTGCAAACACGTTTTGCAGCGTGCTATGTCGTGCAGCGTGCTCTGACAAACGAAAATCTGGAAAACGTGAAAATCTCAAAATGAGGCTCTGCCGCTAGAAAAATTTGGTAGTCTGGTACGGACTTGATATTATATCAATCACACTTTGCGTTACCAAATTCACTGAATAAGCGCAAAGAACACATAACAGGTGTAACCAGTGAGCCAGATGAATTGTGAATCATTCTACGACCTCATCAAACAGGGGCAGTCTGTGACGTTTAGTTAAGGTCATGCTGCCTACACCTCGCCATAAAATTTAGAAATACGATGGTATTAAAGTTTAAAATTAAAATTCATTTGTAACTACCATTTGCTTATGAAATAAGGAATTGGAATTCAGTGTAACCATGGTTGTTTGTGGTGTCTCTTTTCACTTTCACACGGGAAAATTCGGATCGGCTGAAAAGTAGGTCATTGTCTGAATCGGTTAATGAGACTCATGTTTCGGTTTGCATTTGGTTACCCCACCGCCCCAAATATTATGAGTAAGCGGTGATCGGGTTTAAAACAACATACAATAAACTACGCTTGTAACGAACACTTTTATAACGAACTGACAAATATGACGAAATTATTGTTTCCATTTTTCCCGCTCACTTCATGTATATTACACTCTTATAACTTCGGTTATACTGACTGACTGACTGAGTTTGGTTTTACGCCACTTTTAGCAATATTCCAGCAACATCACGGCGGGGACTTCGGTTATAACGAACTGAAGCAAGTGGTCACTTGAGTTCGATATAACCGTAGTCACTGTACACATTCATACCGCGTATGAGTCATTAATAATTTGTCACCATATTTCAACATACCGAGAACAACAGTCGAGTAAGCGGTGACATTATCGTGTCCACCAGGATCCGCTATAACCAGATCAAGATCTGCAATAACCAGATCAAGATCTGCTATAACCAGATCAAGATCTGCTATAACCAGATCAGGCTTCTCTAGATCAACCATAACATGTATTCTACATTATTCCAGACGACATATGTTATATTTGGGATTACACTTTCTTAGTAAAGTACAAATTCTATTACTTTTTGGGGTTGAGTCCTATCCGGGATTCGAACCCACGCCCTCAGATTCAGGCGCCAAATGGCGAGCACGCAAAGTCAGCCGCCTAACCAGCTCAGCCAGCGCCACTTTCACACAAATGGAAGTCGGACAACTGGTAGTCTAGACTGCGGACTCTGTGTACCCCTCTGATAAGTGTAAATTCTAATAGTGTCTTCCTCCATGTTTAGTTTTCACGCCGTAGACAGTGCCGGTGGGTCGTCGCCAACTCTGCAAGTTCGGATTGTACTCTGCCCCAACTGCAGCAACAACGGCAGTTGTTACTTCCTTACGTCGCCCAACCAGAATTTCCTTCCACTGAACTGCGAGTGCCCATCTGGATGGTTGGGTCTGTAGAATATATTTTATGAATGACATTGTATTTTTTTTAAAATCATTGTTTTACAGTGATATGACGTTATTTCAAACTTAACCATGACTGTATACCGTCAGAACAAATATATCCATATAGATTAATACTTTAATATTCTACGTAACCGAACGATGTTGTAGACAAATGGTTACCCACTATTCATATAACAAGTATGCACGAAATGTTGGTTGGATGTTGTTTAACGCCGCACTAAGCAATAATCCAGCTAAATGGAGGCGGTCTGTAAATAATCGAGACTGGACCAGACAAACCAGTGACCTCCATCATGAGCATCGATCTGCGCAATTGGGACACGATGACATGTGTCAACCAAGTCAGCGAGCCTGACCACCCAATGCCGTCTTACGACAAACATGAGTTGAAGACCAATTCTAACCCGGATCTTCACGAGTCTGCACGAAAGGCTTTGAATGCAGTAATAATGATTCATAAACAAACATTCAGGGTCTACATGCGACATTGACTTCAATGGTTGCCAACCCAACCCATGCCCCACGGGTACCAACTGCACAGACCTCTCCCCAGCGGAGCAGCAGAGACTGGGTCGCCCGAACAACTGTACATGTCGCGAGGGATTCAGTTTATCAGACGGAAAATGCACAGGTTAGTGTTGTTAAAATAGTCGACAGCCGCACAAAAGGAGAAGCCTAGTCAGCGTTTGCCCGTAACCCTGAAAAAGTGAAGGCCCAAAGGACCCAGAACCATAAAAAGTTGTGGGTCCTGATCAGAATGTGTAGGCCTTATATTATATATTACAATATACATGTATATAAGTATTTCCCAGCAAACAAAAATTGTAACAAATAACAAACTGGGTTAAAGAGTTTAATTTAGAAATGTAAACTAGAAATTGCCGAATGATATTTTCTGAAAAATAATACTCTTAATTATTGAGGATGAAAAAGCTGTCGGCCTGCAGAAAACAAAAGCTGTGGGTCCGAGTGGTTTTTAGTCGGCTTAGGGTCTAAGGACCGACGTTAATTTCAAACACTGGAAGCCTTTCAATCAAGTTTATTCCGTATTTTAGGCCACATGGCCCATAGTACAATTGTATTGTAAGGTATACAATAGTTGTCACATGACCAAAATTGTATTAAGATCTTTAGTCAAATATTTTTAGCAAATATATAGATGTTAAACGTAGTATATTCACATCAGGTGTGTTTAATATTTTTGTAATGTTAATCTAGCTGTACACTATTTTTGGATGGTCAAGATGTATTCGTTACGGAGAAGAGAATATCTATTACAAGTAAAGAGAACATGGTATTCATTTTCTACAACAGTCATATCACAGTGAGAGCCTTTCAGGCAAACATTATGTGACATACCATTCACGTGTGTGCACATCGCGTTCGAGATTGCAGGATTCCCTCATGCATTGTAAGCGTGTGGCTTTATACGCCAGTCTGGACTTAAGTCCGTTTACTGCAAAATCGTATTGATGGAATGGCAAATAAATATATTTTCGAAAGCAACAAATTGTCTTAAATCGATGCTTGATATTGGATAAAAGACGGTTTACATGACGGTCAGTCAAGTTGTTATTGCGCCTCCTACCTTTTAATCAGGCTGAATTTGTCTCTCAGGTTAAATGTCTCTCCACGATGTTCCATTCAACAGAATGAATGATACAGTCAACTACATTTGTAACTGACGGTTATATCAAACTAGAAGTTTGGTCGGGGTCGCATGCTGTATATATGCTTATAACGAACTTCGGTTATAACGAACAATAAGTATTGGTTTCCCCCTCGAGTTCGTTATAACCGTAGTTTACCCTATTTACTTTAAGGAGATACAGTAACGTCAGTATATCCAGTTTAAAATGGACATGAAATATTTTAGTTAGATATTTAGATCTTTAAAAGTAAGGAACTCCATAAATCAATTACCTTGAAGCTGCTTAACGTACGTATTATCGTTTCTTCAGATATAGATGAATGCCATAATGATGACCATGGTTGCAACGGAACATGTCACAACACCCCCGGCAGTTATTATTGTACATGCGACAAGGGCTACGTTCTATCTTCCGATGGTAAAGCATGTCGAGGTATGTTCATATAGTTCTTTTCTTGTGTTTATAATATATGATAATTGCAAAATAAAAAATATGTTAAAAACTAGATTTGAATTATGTGGTCATGCGTATGATTCGGATACTCCGGAGACTTTACTCTCCATAGAATTATCTCCCTTGTTCAGCACACGCCTTAAAGCGATTCAAACAGGTTACTGAAGTTACTTGACACACAGCGTAGGAATACAATGCCTGGGTGAATCGTCCTTTGCATCATAAAGTGCGTAGTGATTTGCAGCCACGGTTGCTTACGTAATCTCTCAAAGACGTAGAACGCTTGACAATAGTTTTCTGATAACCACTTATCCAATCGATGCTGTGAGATTTCTGAATGTAGATGCTGCCGGATAATGTCAATTGCATGCTTTTATTTTACTTAAATTGTATGCAAGTGTATGTCATGTCGATAACGCTATCCATTCTATGACCATATTCACGTCAACGTGTTTCAGACATCAATGAGTGTCACGAGAGAACTGACCACTGCGACCAAAAGTGTAACAACACCCTGGGGGGATTCCAGTGCGCGTGTCACGAGGGGTACAACATGACTGTAAACGGGACATGTAAAGGTAACCCCAAGAAACTCATGGACGATGATAGGTTCTGGTCTGATTGTGTTTTATAACACTAACTATAGCACCACCACAACCACCACCACACCACCACCACCACCACGACTACTACTACTACTACTACTACTACTACTACTACTACTACACCACCACACCACTAACAACACCACCACCACCACCACCACCACCACTACTACTACTACTACTACTACTACTACTACTACTACACCACCACCACCACCACCACCTACTACTACTACTACTACAACACCACCACCACCACCACTACTACTACTACTACTACTACTACTACTACTACACCACCACCACCACCACTACTACTACTACTACTACTACTACTACTACACCACGACTACTACTACTACTACTACACCACCACCACCACTACTACTACTACTACTACTACTACTACTACTACACCACTACTACTACTACTACTACTACTACACTGTATATATATGTCTTCCCTATGGCAGCCATTACAGCCGGATTGAAGACGTGTGCTGAAAGTGGCCTGAACTGTTCCCACTGTTTGGAGGATTCATTTGGTGCCAGGTGTTTTTGCCCACGAGGATGGACACTGTTCGATGGGACGATATGTCAAGGTCAGACTACTTTTCTTATTTCATTCAACATGTAAACATGGACTTCGATACCTTCACCCTTATATATCTGATTAAACAGCATCGAAAACTACAATTAGTGCAATCTTTTGTCCATTTTAAATATAAAATACTGCAGACTTGGTTTGATTCTAAATTATAGATAAACCTTTGTGGGAGTGTCTGCAGGAGAGAAATCCTACTCAGTATGAGCTCAGACATATACTGCGTGTTTCTTGCTTAACTTTCAGCAGTATGTGATCTGTATGACAACGGTGTGTAGATAATAGAGTCAATCCAGTAATTGATGCAATAGTGATCCATCCGGGCAACTTCAGCACGACAACATATTTTGAACCTTATCACCGAACCCGTCTCCCGACCAATTGCTTCCTCGATAATCTCCAAGGTATACGTGCCGATAGTATAGTTGAGATTTATCGGAACGTATGCCCTGGATACTATCGAGGATGGACCAATTTAGTCGCTTGTCATAACCTGCATGGGCCCCTATTTTAATGCAGAAGGCCTACTGGTCTACTATTTAAAATGTCAATATGTTAAAATAGTGGGTTGTATATTCTGGTCAGACATCGACGAATGCTCCACCATACAGCCTTGCAATCAAACCTGCAGCAACACCGACGGCGGCTTTCTCTGTTCCTGTGCTCCTGGATACACCCTTCAGGTTGACAAGACCACGTGCAAAGGTACAACATAATCTACACACACATGTACCTTTCAGAGAACCTGACTTATTCTTCTGAGAAAGCATGAACAACATGAAAAAGCTTCATTTCTAGATATTAACTTCGGGAATCCCAAATGAAAACAGACGTAAGTTCTGCTGCCATGTCTCATTAACAGGCCATTAGTATTTACCTTGTCAGTGTTTTTCATGTGTATGCGGGAATGTTTTGCATGATCATTCAAAGTGCTTCTTGTTCCCAAGATGTCTCACAATGCATTGTACATTACAGTCACTGAAGATTTCTAGAAGCAGGTTGACAGGCAAATTAAACTGGCATAGAAAAACGGAACAATCAAGAATCGAAATGCACTGAATACGGGTCTCAAAGTTTTGATTTTCTGTTTGATTAAAAAATGTTTGTTTCGGCTACTGGTTTCGGGATTGTTTTAGACAGCGTGTTAAGTTAGGTCTTTCAGTCCATGGGAATCACTCAGTGGCTTCCTATACGTGTACACTGTTACCCTCCAGCTTGCACAGATCCCTTGATGTTCGGTCCCAATTGTTCATTGAGCTGTGCCCAATGTCAACATCTTCAACGATGCGACCAAGAGAAAGGGTGCATTTGTGAGGAAGGTTATACTGGAAGTGACTGCAGCGACGACATAGACGAATGTCAGAGAGATAGCTCCCCTTGTTCCGACAACTACGAACAATGTGTCAACACTATCGGTAGCTTCATTTGTAACTGCAAGGAAGGGTATTATAGGAATCCCAAAGGAGCGTGCCAAAGTAAGTAAAGATATATCATTCGGTGAAGACAAGAAATATTTGAAATGGACTGTTATTTTCTGTTATTAGTATTTAACAGTTATATAATTTTCAGCATAACTTGTTAAAAAGCGTAACATCCGCTGTATCATTATAACTCTTACTGTGTACTGATATCAGTGCTGGAAATAGACACTGGCCCGAAGGCCCTAGGCCGACAGATTTTGTTCTGGGGCTGATAGTTTTTACGTTTCAGCAAGCCCTCGCAGCCTGAAGTTTATTTTAAACTGTAAACATCGTAAATGACCAATTACACTCAGATTGCTTTGTGAAACAGGGTCCAGCTTCAAAGTGCTCCGCTCGTTAACCAATCATATTGACTGGGAACTTAGAGCGGAGAGCAGTTACGAGACCAGTTTATGTGCATTCTCAGCAGTACAGTTGCAATCGCATGTCTTGCTGTTGATACCATTATTGCATTATACCATTTGGTATCAGTGTTTTGGAATTTACCTTGCAAGAGTATTCTTTTCAGCTAATGTTTCGTCCTACACTTGGCTTATAGTGTTTTATTATGCTAGCTCTAAGTTTACTGTGCTGAGTTTCAGACAATGTTTATTTATAGTACATGTAGCTTTGATGAAAGCTTAACACCTAACTCTATATTTGTGGCAGATATCGATGAATGTACCACAGGAGATTACAGTTGTGAGGAACATGCCAGTTGCCATGACAATGAAGGGAGCTACACGTGTGTTTGTGATAAAGGTTACTCTAGGAACGGGACACAGTGTAAAGGTATGGTGGATACAATCAACATGGCTGGATACCTGCAGTAACAGCCGTACCCCATACTTATTCACACAAAGCATTATCTAAGGCTCTAAGTGTGATATGTCCGTTTTGACGAAACGTGACGTGAAAGGACTGCAAGGTGAACACGCATATGAGATACACGGGGATATGTTGTTTGATCATTCAGTGCAGCGGCCCCATCAACAAAACGTTCATTCAGTGCAGCGGCCCCCTAGCACTATGCCATTTGTAGGCCGATGATAAAGTATAGAGTTTACGATGGGTCGTAACGTTGCGAACGCTTTTTGAATCGAGACCCTGAAAAACAACGTTTTCACCCGTCATAACTCGGGTTTTGTTTGACATAGGTTTATGCTCTGGTCTCGTGGCTGGATACCCGCAGTTACGTCCATACCCTATACCTTATTCACAAAAGGCGTTACCTTGGCTACTAAGTATACTATTTCAGTCTAGACGAAACGTGACCTGAATTACTGCAGTACACTTTTAATAATGGAAACGAGTATTTTCTCACGTCATAACTCGAGTTTCGTTTGATATGGCTACATACTTTGGTATATCGAGATATCACGTTGCATCAGCTTCATGTGGAGGAAAGCCAAGTCATGGGAGCCTTGGTCAAACACTTTGGTGAAACCAGGGGAAAGTGTCTGGTACAAACGAACCTTGAAACATAATCAGAGTAAACCCGGATTCGAACTATCAATCATAGATGTCTTCTAAGGGGCGCAACTCTGTACAGCAAAATGGGCCATGTCTTAATTATAATAGGGATAATATTATGTTTTTAATTTGAATTTGTGCACCGATTATTCATGGACTTTCTAATGTGCATTTCAGACATCGACGAATGCACACTCAAGACAGACAACTGTGTACAAGATTGCGAGAACGTGGAAGGCTCCTTCAACTGCCTCTGCCATCCTGGCTACGTCTTAAACAGCGACGGCTTTAACTGTACAACTGGTAAGATCTGGGACATCTGGCAAATGTTTGGTGGGTCAGGATTATGAGACTAGCCAGGGGGTGAAGGGGGTGAACTGTTGCATCTTCTAAACTGTTTTTCGGCAAGAAATGTATGTTATAAGTCACATGAAGCTCTTCAACAAAACGGCTAACTATTCTGTTTGTATCAATGGTTTTAGACTTAGAAGATCCATGCCCAATAGACTGTGGGAGAAATGCTGTATGTAACGCCAGTGGCCTCTGTGTTTGTGAGAGGAGATACGACAACGTTACCGGGATATGTGAAAGTGAGTAAACATCATTATTCCACTGTGGACTGCTCGATCAGGGGTATCATTTCACCACAATCGTAGTACATAACACGGAATAATATTCACAAAGAAGTACATCTTTCTCCATCACTGTAACAGTCATTGTGAAATAAGTCAAAAATAAATTATGAACCGTTCCAAAGTCAACAATGTCCAAATGCCAGTCTTTCTCACTCATTGTCAAAGGTTTTTTAAAAAACGGTTCACAATTTCATCGAGTCAAATTGTGCCACGGAATAATACTTACAAAGACGTACATATTTCTGCATCACTTTAACAGTGAAATAAGTCAAAAATAAATTATGAACGGTTCCAGAGTCAACTTGCAGCTTGGTTAAAGGCCTGCAATCGCTTGGCACTGCTCCCCTTGACCCAGAACTAAGGCTGCTGTTACTGTTGCTGCTTTAAGTTCGGTTCCTTAGATGAGTGACCCGGATGAACCGATCTTGCGCATGAGTTGTCACTCGTTGCCGTCCGGTACGGGGACGATCAGCAGCAACTCGCTTTGCTGATGACGTTGAGAAAGTCGTGTAATGGTAGTAAGATGATTGTTTCCCAATTGTCCTAGCTACAGCGGTTGCAGTGCTACCTCCGTGTAACTTTCCAATGGCCATTCCCTCTGCTCAGTCGTTAGTCTAGGCATCGTTTTGTGTGGCGTGTACACCTCCTACCGTCACTACTGAACTGTTTTTGACTACAAACCTTTGTAAAGGATACCTCAGAGTGAAATGCATGCTTTTCATCCATAACCGTCGATGCACGTGCTAAAATTGTGGTTTTGCTGCACTGTTGGTGTGTTTGTGCGGATGTTTCGTATGGACGTCAAATTGCATGACATCATCTCATCTGGGATCATTACGTCACTTTACCATGAACGTTCCATAAACATGAACGCTTACCTTCATGAGATTTAATATTTTTCGAAACTTGCGTTTCGTTTGCTGTTCAGTATATTACTGCCTGTGAACAAAGATCCTGATCACAGATAATGCTACAAAATATGCATCAATGTATTTATTATATTCTGTTTCAAGAACAGCTGTAGATTAATAATTTACCAGGAGTTGTTAGATCGTTCTTCGAATGTGCGCTTCTACCTTTTATAACAAATGCAGGCATATGTACGGCCAGTAAGGTGGGAAGTACGTGCTTTAATGTTCAGACGCAGAGAATTTAGAGACAAATACATACTATCATGTTTCTGTGTCAAAACATGCAGAAGCTATCTGATGGATGTGGCTTTTCTTGTGTTGTCACAAACCTATTAATGGATCCCCGATAGGATAAAGGATACAGATATTTCCCTCAATTTCTCATTTATGAAACATGTAAAACAAGTATGTTTAAGTATGACTCTAACACCTTACTGGTTCATATCCATTTAAAGCGCCGTTGTATAATGTTGTGAGATACATGTATAACACTGTATATTAACACGAATATTAAAGCGTACTAATGTTCAGTGTTTACAAGCTGCTACCTTCACAGAGCTCTAAAGATCCAAAAACTTGTATTACAGAAAAAGACCCATGCAGCGGACGCCTCTGTACACATGGCACGTGTGATAACAGCACGGGTTTCTGTCAGTGTCATGATGGATACCTCTTGGACAACACCAAACTAAGCTGTATAGGTAACGTCATAACACTACACATAAATATTACATTTAAAGGGGGCTCCACAGTCCAGTACCTATTCATTATGCAGATCTAATAATAATAAAATTGTTTTTCCATCGTCGAATTCCATGTCGGGTGCCGTTTGCTCAATGTCGGTGTACTCATAGAGGTGCAACATTATAACTGAACAATGTACAATGCGTTCTCACATGTCCATTCTCAACTTCCTGGGGAGTAACCCATGGGGTTAACAGTCACATTATGAGCTCATCCGAAACCATTGCTTGCCGCGTGAACTGAGGTATATTTCAACAGGGTTTTGCCTAAGTAACCTCTTATAGCATAAACCCCTGACGATATCTTCTAAAAGTGTGTATATTAATCACTATTACTGCATTTAAAGCCTTTCGTGCAGACCCGTGAAGATCCGGGTTAGAATTGGTCTTAAGTAACCAGTGCTTGTCGTAAGAAGCGACTAACGGGATTGGGTGGTCAGGCTCGCTGACTTGGTTGACATATATGTCATCGTATTCCAATCGATGCGTGATGATCTGGATTGCTGGTCAGATGATTGTTTACAGACCGCCATCACTGGATTGTGCTGGTAAACAAACAAACAGATTCGATCGTTTACCCATTTAACGTTACTGTTTTAAACAATAAAAGGTCCGGGTTAGAATATTACCGCGTGCGTAATTGCTTGTCGTAAAACAAACGGGATCGGGTGAAGTCATCGCTGACTTGGTTGACACATGTCATCGGTTCCCAATTGCGCAGAATCACTGGATTGTGTGGTCCAGACTCGATTTTTTACACACCGCCGCCATATAGCTGGAATATTGCTAAGTGCGGCGTAAAACTAAACTCACTCACTCACTACTGTTTCAAACAGCCTGTACTGACGGAACCTGGGGCCCTAACTGTACGCATAGATGTACCTGTGGTCCCAAAGCTACTTCATCTGCCTGTAACCACATCAGCGGAAACTGCACCTGCAGCCCCTACTGGACAGGACCAAACTGCACGACACACGAGAACGAGTGCGATAGGGGCGTTTGTGGTAACGGAACTTGCACTAACACTCCGGAGTCGTACAACTGTTCTTGCCGTGAAGGGTACAGCTTCAACCCTGACAAAAGGCAATGTGAAGGTATGCTAAAGAGTTTCGGAGTATAACGTACATCACCGTAACCACTGTTAGTATTGGCAACAGGACTGCCTTTATATTATTTAGTTCAGCCGTTATCATTTTGCCGTTCATTGTCATCACAGACAAAATTTCAAAGGACTATTTTACAATTTTTTAAAGTTGGTACGTAACAGTAAATGGAAGATATGTTAACATTAATAACTTCTTTGTTGTATTGACAACTCTATATTGCTTTAACCGTTACTTTTATTGTTGCATTATGTTCATTTTCCATTTAACTGAATATTTACTCAACAAAACAGTTAAGGACCACCCCAATATTCAATATGAAGTATCATATGGATCGTAATATGAACTATCAAATACTTTAATATTGAAAAATAGGGTGGTGCGTAACTACTTTTGTTGAGCATATGTAGGGCTTGCTGTCCGTATGCGAAAACGGTTGTATCATGGTCTAACGGGATATGTGTGCATATTTCGTACTAACAGTCTAACACCATGGAAAATTCAAAGTTCATGGCGTCAAAACTGCATCACTGTTTTAAACAGTATCTAGATTAACTTAACAGTACGTGTTTTTCTTTCTTAATGCCAAACATTGCCTCTTCTTTTAAAGCCGCAATAAATGATGCCAGCGGGAAAATGTCAGGTTCGATATGGTTAGATTTGCAAGTTTGTAAAACGTGCATGCATGTTGTACTTCTACATGTTGTTGTATTCACACATGTGTTGTTCACGACAGTGCATGGGATGTTGTACTCCGATATGTATTATTCACAGAAGTGCATCGACTGTTGTATTCTGCTGTACCTTCTTCAGTGCAGTACATATACTGAGAGAAACAAATAAAGGAACACATGAAAATTCAAGTGCTCCCGACCTTAAATATATTCCAGTTTTTATCACCAGCTTCGAATACCGCTATGGGAGGAAATATGAAAATAAATAAAGGAACACTGCCATGAAGTGGTGTTCCCTTATTTGTTTCCCTCAGTATATATTTGCTTCTCATACAGAGTCGTACAACTGTAATACTGCTGAATGCATCGTCAAACAAGCACATACTCATGATGCATTGTTAATTGTACAATCGACTTTGCTTTTAGTAGAGATTGCTTACGAAAGTGGAAAGGGTTTTGTCGTCTCTATTCGTGTATCTGTTGCACTTCAGACATAGATGAGTGTACAAGGATGCGTGACAAGATCTGCCTACAGAACAGTTCCTGTGACAACACCGACGGTGGCTATGTCTGTAAATGCCACAACGGCTTCAAATTACAGTCTGATAACGTCACCTGCGTCCCCAGTCAGTTTTTAAGTAGTTTAATTTGTACTAAATGTTACATTGGAAAAATGATATCATGCATTTAACTTTTACAATATCATGCATGTAACTTTTACAATATCATGCATTTAACTTTTACAATATCATGCATTTAACTTTACAATATCATGCATTTAACCTTTTTACAATATCATGCATTTAACTTTACAATATCATGCATTAAACTTTACAATACCATGCATTTAACTTTTACAATATCATGCATTTAACTTTACAATATCATGCATTTAACTTTACAATATCATGCATTTAACTTTTACAATGGCTGAGTCAATAACTATTTCACAACAAAGCTTCAGACATCTATTCGACGGTGGTGCCATGGGCGTATGGGATGCAGTGTTCATGGTGAAATGATGGATGCAGAGTTCATGATGTCCTGACATTATAGATGAATGTCTCTTAAGGATAAAAGGGCGGTGGGGGTAGCCTAGTGGTTAAAGCGTTCGCTCGTCGACCCCAAAGACCGGGTTCGATTCCCCATATGGGTACAATATGTGAAGCCGGTGTCCCCAGCCGTGTTATTGCTGGAATATTGTATAAAGCGGTGTAAAACCATATTCACTCACTCACTCGCTCACTAAATTGTAAAACAAGTCCTGAAGAGCTTCAAGGTTGATCTGTACTAAACGCCCGACACGCATGATTCAATGTTGTGCTGTTTCTCTGTGACGACAGTCCCACTGAAGACCGATCCCACGACCACATCCATTAAGACAACCTCCACTGAACACCCAAAGTAGTGCCACCAGCATCACCGGCACGGCAGCACCAGCACCAGCACCAGCACCAGCACCAGCACCAGCACCAGCACCAGCACCAGCTCCAGTTCCAGCGCCAGCAACAGCACCAACCAGCAGCACCAGGCAGGCCCAGCTCCAGCACCAGTTCCAGCAGCACCAGCACCAGTTCCACAGCAACAGCACCAACACCAGCACCAGCAACAGCACCAGGCCCAACACCAGCACCAGCAACAGCAACAGCACCAGCAGGAGAGCCTAACCAGGCATTTGGAATGAAATGGTTGATTTAGAATAGTACTATCTAGTCGAAACAGTTCTACTTCAACCCACATAACGATGGAAAAAATTACACTGTCAACACATCTGCAAGTATATACGCATACATATACACTTGCAGAAATCACACACACATACATGTGCGTGTGTACGCGCGCGTTCGCGTGGTGTGTGTGTTATGCTATGTGTTGTGCTGTATTATTCTAAGCGCTGTGTCTGGAGCAACGTTTGGTTTTCATTTTCCCACTACCACGTTTTGGTGAAGTATGATTTGTTTTACTACTGTTTTGCATGTTCTTTGTCCACACTTTCATACTAGTAACACATATCCTAAATTGTGAACACCAATAATCATTTGGAAAGGTGTTTATTCTTCATTGCCTTATGATCTTACTGCTTCTTTGGTATCAGGTAACTAATCTTTAAGCACTTTTCATAGAACACTCTATCGCCCTGGCTGTTGGGCTCGGCGTCGGTATCCTCATCATCTTCATCGTCATCGTCGTTGTGGTGGGCGTCTGTCTCTACAGGAGACGTGGTTTCAAAGGAGACGCATTGGTCAACGAAAATGATCCGTAAGTTGTAACTGTATGTGCTCTAACGTCGTAGGTTGGTTGGTTTGGGCTCAGGGAACATAAACAAACGTCGAGGGTGCATCAACCCATGAGCCCCGAGGGACCAGTGAACAACGTATTTATCTTACCGAACACCTCAATGTTAATTTTGAACTGTTTCAAGCACGGGTATTGGATCATGATAAGGAGTACCGGAGTTAGGCAACAACCCAAACACTACAAACACGAAATACGAAGTTCCAGCGGGTGACATAGAAAATGTTACTCGCTTGTAAGCGGGGTACTTTGATTGGCTCAGCCAATCAGAAAACGACATTCATGTGTGAGGTAAGATAATATCGGAGGATCGAAAAGTGATGAAATATATTAACGTACATCATGTAACAACCTATACCAATAGACCGCCTCCGTGGTGTAGTGGTTAGAGCGTCCGCCCGGAGAGCGGAAGGTCGCGGGTTCCATCCCCGACCGCGTCATACCAAAAGACGTTAAAATATGGTACTTGTTGGTCCCTGCCTGGCGCTCGGCATTAATGGGTACAACAAGGACTGGTCGGCTCGGAGTCAGTATAATGTGTCTGAGTGGGGGTATTCATGCTTCACTGCGGCATGGTATCTCAGTGGGCTAGCACTATAAAACCAGCCTAAGTCTGGAGCTAGTACCAGCAGCCGCACTGAGACACGCATGCACGTCGTCATATGAGCGAAATATTCTCAAGCACGAAGAAAACCCACTTTCACCTCACCTCACCTCACCTATACCAATATGCTCTGTCTGGAAGCAAGGATAAGGGTCACGTCAGTAGTAGGGCTGGGACGGGTACTCGGGTACTCGAATCCGAGTCGGGTATAGCTGGAATCGAGTACTATTTCTAGGAATCGAGTACCCGGAAAAGGAGAAGGGCACATAATAACTTGTCTTTTTCATCATTGACGTAACACACATTTGCATCATTGGTATTGTCCGATTAATGGAGGTCATTATTAACGACTGTATATATCTGAGCATGAGCAGTGAGGAGTCAAGTAACAATAACAGCGGTAACGAAAAGTCCTGCAATGTTTTAACTAGGAATGCATGTAATGGTGTTACTCTCTATATTTGTTAAATAGACGTAAATTAAATAGCCTACGTTCAGTTTCAGTGTCTAAGTGCCATCCTTTCAAGGTTTGTATAAAAATCTCCGTCAACTCGTGATTGAATATTCAGAAAGTTGACAGAAGCGCTTTATTCATTACATATCCGGGTACTCGATTCCATTTTTCTTACCCGTCCCAGCCCCTAGTCAGTAGTACACCTGGTGTACTAATCACGTCTTCAGCAGTCTAGCGTTACATTTAAACTGTTTACTTCTCGAACGTAAGAAGGCTAATACACCGAGGCATGAAGTGGGCATCCCCGTGGGCAGTACCTGTGCTCCCCTTAGCTTCTTGTGGATCTGAACCTTTATTCAATTTCTGTTCGGATTGACAAATTCAAACAATTTGGCCAAGAATTGTAACTTGAACTTTAGATTGATATATCATATCGTTCAATAATAGTGGTTGATATAGTAGCTACATTTCTTCCACAGACTGAGGGGCGGTGGGGTAGCCCTAGTTGTTAAAGCGTTTGCTGGCCACGCCGAAGACCCGGGTTCGATTCCCCACAAGGGTACAATGCGTGAAGCCCATTTCCAATGACTTGTTAGACACATGTCATCGTATGCCAATTGGGTAGATCGATGCTCATGTTGTTGATCACTGGATTGTCTGGTCTTGACTCGATTATTTACAGACCGCCGCCATATAACTGGAATATTGCTGAATGCGGCGTAAAACTAAACTCACTCACTCATTCATTCATTCATTATTGTCCACGTTGTATGGGAATCGAACTCTCGTGGTCGGCGTGATGGGCCTTGAACCACGATTTAACTCCGTGACCCTGGACCCATACATTTAATCACACAAGACTTCAGGTAGCCCACTGAGAGATGAGTTGCTTGATTATACTCGAATTCGAAAGTGTTGGAAGCGGTGTAAAATGATGCTCCCGAGGCCTCTTCTTCAAGATAAACATAATGCATTGACGGATAAAGCAAGACAAAAGACATTTCTGGGAAACGTAACTTTTGGTCTTTTACGACAAGCATGGGTTGCTGAAGATCAATTCTAACCCGGATTTTCACGGGTAAACTTCATTTTGGAATAACATATTGCGATATTGAGACACTTTCGAACTGTCAGTTATTAGAAATTGTTCTGATGTTTGTGAGATATTTCCGGATATTTCTGAAGTGATATTCAATTGATTTTATCAAATTTTAGACCGCTGTCATATTTTAGATAGATAGATCGTCTTTAGTTCCTCCAAAAATTTAAATACATATGCATGATTTTAGCAGATATTGCATTATACAAAGTACAAGTGTGTGAAAGTTATACAATACAAATACATTTGAAGATATGTATATATAGGGGGATGTGAATCTAGTAATATATGTTGAAAAACCGTTTCCATTCATGAACAGTTTTACTTGTGATTTTCATACATTGAATCCACAGGTCAGTATCAAGACTTTTGTGGACAAAACATAAGTACATGTTTTAATATCATATGTGCCACATAAGCATTCTTTAGATTGTATAGCGAAAGTGCTGACACGGATAAGGTAGGTATCAAAAGTGTTGGAAGCGGCGTAAAATGATGCTCGGTGATACCTATTCTTCAAGATACACATATAAGAATGCCAAAGGTTTAGGAGGCTTACTATGTGTTTTCCGTTGATGCATTATGAGAGAAGTCTTTAATCCAAACTGTTTCTGTCGAGAAATAATCAAGAGCTCTGAGCTCCTAAAGTTCCTCCTGAAGTTTCAAAACGGACCCTTTTAAATCAGGCATTGTTTATGATTGACAATGCTATAAGTTCACACTATTTGAGGAGGAGATGTGAAAAACGGTTGGTTCTAAGATACAGGCGACATTTCCGACAATTTTTTATAAATGATTCCGTATAATTGTCATCTCAACACCTTGAATTTTCAATCGTAAGAAAACCTGTTCGGGAAATTATCGAAATATTTAGACACAATGCAGGACGGGTTTTTTATTTTATGCTGACGGATTTACATCGTTTTCCACTAGAAGATGTATGATATCTTTGAGAAAATACTCAATATACTGAAAAGTAAAAACAGTTGTAAATAGTTTAACAGCACGATTTTGAAGGTTTATAATTTGTATTTTTGACAAATTGAAGAGGGTTAAACTCTTTTTAATGCTATTTTGTTATTATAATTTTATAATTTTCTTTCTTCTTCTATTTAATTTAAATATTATTTATTTAAATGTTTAAATTTTATTGGGGTGGGGGTTGGGGTTGGGTGTGGTTGAGTTGTTTGGTGTGTACATATTACAGAGATCGATTCAAGAACCTAATGCCCTAATGTTACGAATGCCTCTCAATTGCAGATACAATGTTAGACCAGCATTCGGAAGTTTGACATCTGCGCTTGGAAGTCACGGTCGTCGACGCAACGATGACGTCATGCGCGGGATGTATAATAAATACTACAGTAACTGGGGCACCCCGGGCAACACATTTAAGGGGACAAAGCTAGGGGGCGCTTCCAGCCCTGAGTTCTACAGGTCCCCAAGAAGAACAACCCCTGGAGTTTATACCACACACGCACCGAGCCGACGCCCGTATGTATTCAGTGACCCTCTGCTATTGTAAATGTTCATTGCTGAAAGTGAGTAGGAGGAGTGGAGTTGAACGCCGCTTTGAACAGTATTTCAGCTTCATCACAATATCCATTTTACACTACAGCAAACTTTATTTCTTAGATATAGGACCGCCTACGTGGCGTAGTGGATAGAGCGTCCGCCCGGATAGCGAAAGGTCGCAGGTTCGATACCTGGCCGCGTCATACCAAAGACGTTAAAATATGGTACTTGTTGTTCCCTGCCTGGCGCTCGGCATTAATGGGTAAAACAAGGACTAGTCGGCTCGGAGTTAGTATAATGTGTCTGAGTGGGGTATGGTATCCTCAGTGAGCTTGGACAATAAAACCAGCTAGTACAAGCAGCCACATACACACGCATGCACATCGTCATATGAGCGAAATATTCTCAAGTAGGACGTTAAACCTCATTTCACCTGACATCTGAAATGTAGGTTAGTTAGGGCGATATAGTTTCCCTACTGGTGGATGAGGAGCTATCACAGTTTGGTGTTTGGGTGGAATGTTTGTGAATGCGACTTCAGCTTCGACTCAGTCTGTGTCTCCTCCATTTCATAGCGACGTCATCTTCGTCTGCGCAAGGGACGACGACCACAACCCTGCTCGCGACTCCAACTTCTCCTGGGACTTCCTGTACAAGGCTCTGAAACCTGAGGAGGATGTGAGTCGAATATAACTGTACATTACTGTAAATGATGAAAATCAGTGAAAATTGGCGAATTCTTAACAAAACTTTGCACCAAAACGCAGCTGTTCACATGAACGATATATGCACATGCCTTTTAGCAATTTGATGCACAATCCTCGTACAATTCATCTGCATAAAGTTTGCAGTTGGTTCCCCTAAGCTAGTGGAGGAATTCATCTTCGATGTAACCATATATACACATGCCAATATAATGGTTGTCGCCCCCTTCAATTTGTTTAATTGAGAGGGGTGGGGTGTGAAGTGTGGGGGTTGGGGTGGGGAGGGGGTGACAACCATTATTGGCATGAGTATATATGTACATAACATATAATGAGTGCTTTAGGTGAGTCTAAACTTTTGATGGGAAGTATAATTTACATTACAAGCTGTATTTCGGTATCCGTGAAAGAATTATTTATCGGTAGCCACTATGTTTACGCTATCAGATGAGTGTACACAGAGACAAGTACCTGTCTGTTTGTATGTTTCAGTTCCGACTACAGAGGCCCGTCGTGTCACCTGCTCAGCCCTCTGAGGTACTTCAACACTATTCCATTCCAATATTTTATCTGTGCATGGCAGAAGCTTAAGATCATATGTTCGAAAACCGGTTTGCCCCGGTTATGTTTCTTGGTTTGTCAACACCATGCCGTGGGTTTGACCAATCTTCCAAGATCACTTCCTTCATTCCTCCGCCATGAAGCTGACACACCGTGATGTAACTGGAAGATTGTTTAAAACTGCGTTAAACCAAACCTATTTACTATAGCCAGTACTGTTACAGACCCGTGAAAATCTGGGTTAGGATTGGTCTTCAGTAGCCCATGCTTGTCGTAAGAGGCAATTAATCCATCGTGTGGTCAAACGCGCTGACTTGGTTGACACATGTCATCGTGTCCCAGTAATGTACATCGATGCTCATGATGTTGATCATTTGATTGTCTGGTCCAAACTCGATTATTTACAGTAGGCCCTCATATAGCTGAAATATTGCTGGCGTTACAGAACAACAGTAAGCATACCGATCTTAAATTATTAGTCCCACTGAGTTCGTTATAAACGTAGTTTACTAGGTAGCGAAATGATTTGTAGTCACGTCGGTTTACAAGAACTCTGGTATACCCGGAAACCATTGTCTGAACCGTGTAGGTGTGTAGATCTCACCTAAAGTATCTCACCCAGGACAAACACGTCGGAAAACTGCTGTGGATTATATGAGAGCAAATATTTGCAAAACAAATTGTTCATTGTATGGAACTGTTAGTTTATTGCACAGGCAATACAAAATTTCTCACTCGGTTCGTGTAAGTCGTATGACACACATCATTATTTTTTATTTTTTTTCAATTTTTTTTTTTTTAGAATGTTTTGATTGTTCCCAAGGGTACATCATTAGAGCACCCGTATGACACACTTGCTCGTGTAATCATCTCGTAACAATATATGTGGTGGGCACTACCTAAATAATTTGTAAATAATCGAGTCTGGACCAGATAATCCAGTGATCAACAGCATGAGCATCGATCTACTCTATTGGGATACGATGACATGTGTCAACCACGTCAGCGAGCCCGACAACCCGATCCCGTTAGTCGCCTTTTACGACAAGCATGGGTTACTGAAGATCAATTCTAACCCGAATATTCTTTTCCCCCGCAATCTTAATGATTATTTTCATGAATAACAATCCTAATGACACTTATGATTTTGTATCACGTGAGGTGGTTTAAGGCGCCGTTCAGCATTTATTCGACAACCTGTTGTGAGTCTCGCGTGACGCACCACTCAATTCCTTGTCGATAACAGTATGTAATCTGTGTACAAAGTGTGAAGCCCATTTCTAGCATTCGCAGCGGTGATATTGTTGACTACTGACTGTTGTAAAGCTGTGACAGCGATGTAAAGCCTTATTCATTCACTCGCTAGTCTGGGGTCGGTGGGTAGCCTTGTGGTTAAGGCGGTAGCCTAGTACAATGTGTGAAGCCCTAATTCCCAGCGTTCTTGAATGTAAAGCTTATTCGTCACTAGTCCTTGGCGGTAGCCTAGTGGAAGTCACGCCGAAGGTTCGATTCCCCACATGGGCACAATGTGTGAAGTCCATTTCTGGTGTCCCCGCCGTGATATTGCTGGAATATTGCTAAAAGCGGTGTAAAACTGAATTCTCTCACTCGCTAGTCTACTCATATTCATAATGTTTCACACTCGTATACTGGTATTTGACGTTTAAGTACATGGCAAATTAAACATTATCATTAGATACTTAGTATGCATACACAATGTCATTTAGAAAGTGTTGAAATGTAACATAGTAAAAAGTTGAAAGTCTAGTACTTACGCTGTTGGACAGGCATGTCCAAATACATTTAATTAAAATTGTAAGTGGGATGTTGGTTCCCGCGAAACGAACGGCCCTGTATGTTGTCTAATAGATGCTGAGAAGCGCCTTTGATCTCTCTCAATACGTACATGTGATACTATTAGACGCTCAATCATGGGCCATAAACACATGTGTCCCTGTGACTGGATTTTCACCCAGCCGGCGGCGTGAAGACGAATGATTTAACCACTAGGCAACCCACCATTCCGGCTGAAATGAAAGATACGATAGCTTAAGCAATGATTATAGACCCCATGTGAATATTTACCGCGAATCTGTTATCTAACACCACTTGCCTTTAGGCATATGAGTGTGTATATTCAATGTTGAACTGATCAAATGAGAAGGTAGTGTACTGAAGTTATATAATGGAAAACAGAACGAAGCGCGTTAACCATAATCATGAAATTTGCTATCAAATAATCAGACTTTTTGTTGGATTTAAAGGGACATACCTAAATACTTCGAGTTATCCGACTTTCTCCGGGGCGGTGGGGTAGCCTAGTGGTTAAAGCGTCCGCTCGTCACGATGAAGAACCCGGGTTCGATTCCCCACATGGGTGCAAAGTGTGAAGCCCTATTGCTAGCATTCCCAGCTGTGATATTGCTTGAATGTAACGCCTTATTCATTCACTCGCTAGTCTGGGGGCGGTGGGGTAGCCTTGTGGTTAAGGCGTTCGCTCGTCACGCTGAAGACCCGGGTTCGATTCCCCACATGGGTACAATGTGTGAAGCCCTATTGCTAGCATTCCCAGCTGTGCTATTGCTTGAATGTAACGCTTTATTCATTCACTCGCTAGGTTGGTGGTGGGGTAGCCTTGTGGTTAAGGCGTTCGCTCGTCACGCTGAAGACCCGGGTTCGATTCCCCACATGGGTACAATGTGTGAAGCCCTATTGCTAGCATTCCCAGTTGTGATATTGCTTGAATGTAACGCCTTATTCATTCACTCGCTAGTCTGGGGGCGGTGGGGTAGCCCTTAATGGTTAAGGCGTTCGCTTGTCACGCTGAAGACCCGGGTTCGATTCCCCATATGGGTACAATGTGTGAAGCCCTATTGCTAGTGTCCCCCGCCGTGATATTGTTGGGATATTGCTTAAAGCGGCGTAATACTAAACTTACTCTCTAGAAGTTGGACGAACATGAATATATGACACCAAGGAATATCTCAGCCCCGATCACTAAAACCGGGGAGATTACTGTTTCGATATGTTATTAATGTGTAATAAGTAGATTCAATCCTCTTGCTTTGCATGTAACATTATACGTAAATGCCAAGGGTCAGAACTATGAAATCTTGTTCTCTGTTTCTCAAAAAATAACGCCAGTTATTTACACTCGCATTTCAATGTAATCATAAAACAGCTGTTTTTGCATTAAGGCTATTCACATTACACATTGTGTTGTTTTGGTCACGCTGAACTCGTATTTAGGAACGTAATTTTCCTTTGTTATACTTCGGGTCATGCAGTGTCTTGTTTCTGGGTCAGGATTATATTATATCCTGAGTTAGGATTATATCCTGGAAATACTCACGGTGTCGCAATCGACTAAGGTGGTGTGTGCTCCTGTGCATGGAGCTCAGGTCACAAATCAGGTGAAGTAAAGGAACGTTGGGCGCGGACATTCCTTGGATGGGTGACCGTGTTTGGCAGCTTGACTCCTGAGAGTGTCTAGGACTTTAGTCCTGCCCCACAACGAAGCACATGTGGTCTCACCTTAGGCAAGTGAGGTTTTTCAAACTTGCCTCTGTTCACCCAGCAGAAAATGGGTACCCGGTGGGATAAGTCATGTGCAATATTGCACCCCTTGGACATGCCAGAAACTGTTGATCATGTGTTCGAATCCAGGTTACCGCCGATGATGTTGTTACGGTTTGTCAACACCATCATCATGACAAGCATCAACTCAGGCCTTCCTTCCACACAAATCTGACACACCCGTGATCTAACTGGAACATTGTTGAGTGAGTGAGTTAATATTGGACGTCACATCGGCATTATCTCAGCCATATCGTGAGAGAGGGTCAATTATTCATTGTTGACCCAGCAGCAGCAAAACCTGACAAGATATTCCATCAATCACCTAATCACTTTCAGCGTGACATGAGATAATCCATCAATCAGAGAGAGAGAGAGAGAGAGAGAGAGAGGAGAGAGAGAGAGAGAGAGAGAGAATCATTTGGAAAGGTGTTTATTCTTCAATTGTCCCATACAATATGATCTTTCTGCTGCTTTGGTATCCGATAGCTGATCTATAAGGGCTTTTCATAGAACTCTCTATCCCCCTGGCTGTTGGGCTCGGCGTCGGTATCCCCTTACTCATCATCTTCGTCGTCATCATAGCTGCGATTGGCGTCTGTCTCTACAGGAGACGTGGCTTGTATATTTGTCAAACATTATCTGCAATCCATTCACTATATTGCAGTATTACGTCACATATTTAGGTTTTAGCACTGTTTACTTAAAGGGTACTACGCCCCACAACACCACCCACCGACCCGTGAAGATCCGGGTTAGAACCCATGCTTGTCGTAAGAGGCAACTAACGAGATCGGATGGTCAGGCTCGCTGACTTGGTTGACATTACATCGTGTCACAATTACGTAGATCTATGCTCATGATGTCGGATACTGGATTGTCTGGTCCAGGTTCGATCATTTCCTTCGATATAGACCGCCGACATATAGCTGGAATATTGCTGTGTGGCGTTAAAGATCAGCCAACCAGCCACCGCCCCACCATGTCCCACCACACCACATACCACCACACCAAGTCCCACCACGCTCACCAGGATTAGAACGGTAAAACAATACATTGCTTTTGCAGAACACTCTCGGATTTACTGAAGAACCCGACAACTGCCTTGTATACTGCCTTGAAGTATACACAAGCAGTTAGCCATCAAGTGATTTTCTGTTACAGGTAGCAAGAGGGTTGTATTTAGCCTATATATCGTTCTACATTAGTCAGTAATCTATCTTTAAGACCTCTCCATTGTAGATACCGTCTGGACAGATGCCGGCATCTAATGTGTGAGAGGAAGCAAGCCGAACCATCATACGTCATCAAATCAGATGCAGCAGGTCCGTGTCTCAGACAATCTAAACTCAGCGATACTTCATCAAGTCTTGAAGCTGTAGTTCTCCTTCAGTTTCGTTCATTTCCTTCAACTGAAGGAGGTGACATTTTCGACGTATCAAGCCAGAACTACAGGGAGACATTAAGACATGAAAGGAAACATATTTATACCTAATCCTGAACCACATGTAACAGATACAAGTTGTATAACTACACCCGTGTTGAATGTCACAAAGACATTTAGATATAAAAGAACATATTTATACTTAACCTTGAACCACATTTAACATTTACTGAGTCAGGTCGGGTTATAAGTCTTTCATTTTTATTTTGTTAACCGGTTTACCGATTTCAGATTAATGTGAAATCTAATCTAATATCTACTACGGTGCAATATTCATGTTATTACTCCGTCTACGTTCATTATGTCTTGCATGTATATCTGTGTGTGAAAAGATGTTAGATCAGATCTTTGTTGGCAGTATTGCTTTTCGCATTCCTGTTAACACATAAGAAAAAAGACAATACTAATATTTACCTGTCTCTTATAACTGATTAGTGAAAGTTGTCTGGGGTGTCGTGATCTTTACATGAGAACTTTGGTATATGAACTTATAAAACCCACTGTTAGTGGCATTTGATTGGCTGCTCTGACAATTACTTTTGAGTTAAAGTTTTCAAACACCGAAAACAAACTATCCAATGCCCACTACTGCTCTCTGATTGGCTAATCTGACAATGGGCATTGTTGCAATGTTACGCAGATGTTGTGTTGTCTAAAATTGTTTGTCTGTTAATGTTTAAATAATCTGGGACGTCATTATTGTTTACAAAATAATTTATTTTTACTTCGATGTCTTGTACGTTTATGGAATTTCGTACCTAGACTGTATGTACTCCTTTTGCATGTTACACGTAACAAATGAAGTGAATGCATGTATATGCAATGTGTGCTATATATATATATTTACGCTGAAAGCTTTTCCATTTCCCTTGTGATAACAGGAGTGATAATGTTTGCATATACGCTAATTTACTTTCGTTTTGACGCGTTATACTATTATGTAATTTT